TAACCCCAATATAGCCTATCTAAACTAAACATGCATATGATTTGGCAACCCACTAGAGGCTATAATATTTGACAAATACGGTGTAATGATGCTTGTGCTGTGTAGGCTGTAGTGGGGTAGCCTATAAAGGGTACAACCAAAGTTAGGGTTGTAAACACATCTGTGTTCACATTTCCTGCTCGTTAGTTCTTGACACAAAAAATTTGGTCGCGGACAAGGTCCAAACGGACAGCTCATATGAGATGAGACGTCCTCCTTTTTATACAAAAATGTGATCCTGCTGCCAGTTTTGGACGCAACGAGCTCGGGATGAAAATGCTAGAGTGTGTTGTAATCTGTAGACGATGTGTTGTTGTAATTTGTCATGCTGCAAGGGTGCGTGCGTTTTTGCACTCTCAGAACCATAGTTGAAACAGACTTACCGTAAACAAAACTCTACACGCACAACATGAATATAGCTACTTTGAAGCACAACATGCACAACTCTACAAACGTTTCTCAAGCAGACATCCCTCGCGCAGGTGCAATGGTTGGTACAAGCATTTTGCATTGATTCTCCATCTAGTGGAAAAGTGAAGGGGTCTCGCTGACTAGAAAGGAGAGGAGGTCTTATTGAATGGAGAGAAACCATCCAGAAGTTGAAGTATAGTGCACATGACGACATAGTTGATGCTGCCATCCCAAGCCATCCTACCTACACATAATTGAGCCGCCTGTAACATTATGCTGGCCCCTGGTCAAGGGTAACAATGGGAGGAAAAAAAGGATAATATGTGATGAGCCACAAGGTTTCACCTATGGTGATTGGTGAAGAAAGGGAAGAGGAGAAGGTGTGCAGGCGTGCAAGAGTAAAACAACCAATCGTTCAAAGAGCAGGTGGAACAGAATCTATAACTTACGGTATAGCACGTCCCCTCAAAAGGTCCTGAGATGCTTGCTCGAGAGGCCACTCTTCGTTGAAAGCTTTGCCTCGACAATTATTCGAATCGTAGAACTTAATATTGCTGCAAGCGGGAGCGTCACCAATGTTATCCATGCCATATATGATTGAGACCAGGCCAAGCGCTCCTTCTGGAATCGGAGTACACACATTCAGCCTGAGGCGGAAGGTGTAGGCATACATGTCGTTCTTGACATATGTGTAGCTGTAGGAAGAGACGGTGGGATGTCTACCTGTGATAATAAAGAGGGGCACAACGATAGGAGCGAGAGCAGTGTTGTGTTTGTCACCGGCACTAAGGACGTTCAAACACTCCTACATGCATTGCCACATTCCCAAGAACATTCGGCCAACATGGCAGAGTGAGGAAGGTGAAGCAAAGAGTGGGGTGAGTGGGATTGGGGAGCGTGGGACGAGCAGGGAGAGTGGGACGGGTGGGGAGAACGGGACGGGTGGGGAGAGCGGGACGGGTGGGGAGAGCATGCATCAAGGAGGCTCACCCTGAACACAGCCGGTTGTGGTTATCCCATACCCGTCAGGGCACGAACAGTACGGCACTGACAGCGTTGAGTCAGGAGTAAATGCAGGTAGAGTCTGGAGTAATTGCTTAGTCTTGCAGGTGGCTCCAGTGGGGCAGGCGCCACAGAGTGAGGCTGAGGGGTGGGCATGGGTGCAGTGCGGTATGTGAGTAAATGCAAGGGGGGGGTTGAGGTTTAGAGGGCAGGCGCCACAGGGTGAGGGTGACGAACGCAGGAAGCACGGGAGAGGGAAGCGATGGGGTGCGGGATGGGCGTGGGTGTGGCTCCACTCATTGGGAGAGCAGGAAAGAACTCATCTCACTAGCAGAGAGAGCAGGAAAGAACTCACCTCACTAGCAGAGAGAGCAGGAAAGGACTCACCTCAGTGGCAGGCAGAGCAGGAAAGAACTCACCTCACTAGCAGAGAGAGCAGGAAAATACTTACGCCACTGGCAGTAGCGAACCCCGTTTTGATCCACCACACATTTGCTACCAGGCTGACAGGCCAGCGCCGCACAGGCAGGATCTGCAGCAGAGGAGAGAAGAAAAGGGCCACAGGTAAAGGTATGCATGCTTATGGACGTCTTGAGGTATGAATGCTAATGCTTATGCTTATGACGTCATAAGGACATCGGAATGACACAGCAAGGGGGCATCGGAATGGCAGAAGTGACCTTTGAGTCGACTCAAAAGTCACCTCGTTACAATGGCACAAGAGGGCATCGGAATGACGTAGGCAGTGTCATCCCGGACAGCAGCAAGGGGGCATTGAAATGAGAGCGGCAGTGTGCCTCTGTCAGGGGCAAGGAGGCGGCAAGAACACTGCCCTTCAGAGAAAGGCTGTGTAAATCACGCCCTTCAAAATCGCACCCTTCAGAATCGCTTCTTTCAGAATCACGCCCTTCAGAATCACGCCCTTCAGAAACACGCCCTTCAAAATCACGCCCTTCAGAATCACGCCCTTCAGAATCACACCCTTCAGAATCACTTCCACTGAACGGACCAGTGGTGCTGCCAGTGGTGGTGGTCTCTAGAGCAATCCGCGAATCGACCTTCCTGCTTGCTGTCTCCGCATACGCGCCTTTCAGCATCGTGCTTCGCAGCATGCTACGGTGTGTCATGCTGCTTTTCACTGAGTCGTCGCCATGCGCTGCCTTCATCATCTGAACTGCTGCAGAGGACAAGGGAAAGGGCGTGTAGGGAGGAGAACAGAGAAAAGCTACGAGATAGCAGATATGAGAAAGCAGATATGAGAGAGGAGATATGAGAGAGCAGAGAGGGAAGCGAAAGAGAATCGAGCTAAAGAGGTGGAAAACGAAGCCAGCAGGAAGGAGGGAGCAGGGAGAATGGCATGAACCCAATTCAAGGCTTACGAATAAAGTCAAGGGCTGACCAAGTCAAAGATGCTACAGCAATGAAAGCAGCAGACTGACCGCAAATGAGCGCAAGGGCGAGCAGCAGGAGTCCGGCAGGAGAGGCGCGCATCGTCTTCATGATGATGACGTGGGATTCGCGGCGTGGGAGAGGCAGGCGGAAAGTTGGCGGAAGAGGCGGGAAAAGCGCAAAAGATGGGCAACAGTGGCGCAAAAAAGGCGGAACAGCGGCGGAACAGAGGCGCAACAGAGGCGGAACAGAGGCGCAACAGAGGCGGAACAGAGACGCAGCAGAGGTGCTGTGTGATGTCGTGCGAGTCGCGGATGGAAGAATAACAGCTTGATTTCCAAGTCGGAAATTGGACTGTGTTGATCTCGTGTTTACTATATCAAATAGTATGATACTGAGGTGACTTCTGAGTCGACTCAGAAGTTACTATATCAAAAAGTATGACTGCGAGTGACGAGCGCGATTCTGCATGACAGCCCCCAGCTATCGTCATCGTGATGATTTAGTCAGGTTTAGTGGCTGCGGATACCTTGCGCCACATATAATGCAAAGCTTGGCTCCTGCGAATCTACTTCTGAGGCGCCTCCTAAAGAAACCCCCGCCATTGTCAGACGATTGCGCCACATCCAATGCGGCAGTGCTTGGCTCCTACGAGTCACGGGGATGATTATAGCGCATACGTTTGGGTGATGCGTGCGACGACATTGATTGGCGGGGCGTCCAAAATGAATCGCATATATGCAAAGTCAGGTGGTGTGCTCGACTCAAGTGAATCGCATCAACTAAATAATTGGAGAGGAGATCGCAGGGCATTGTCGTTCACGAATCACGAATAACGAATCGCGACTAGTGATGGTACACAAGTGCCCTCTCTTCCCGGCTCGGCAGTGGGAATGTGGGATTAGGAGAAATTATCACGAGACCAGCTGCTTCATTATATATGTAGTAGTCGCAGATATGCCAAGGGTCATGTTAGCTTTCTGATGGTCGGCTGTGTGTTTTGGGTGAAGCGTTGTCGTGAATCTGGGGTAACCCTAACACATCGCCCCCTTGAGTTTTCCACGATCGATTGAAATTATACGTACTGCAGGATCGAAATTTTGCGCAGGTGAAAATGGTTCGGAACGTTCTGAATGCTATGAGCGGAATTCCAGTGTGGGGGACTATCGGTCTTGTATTATCAGTCATGAAGAGGCGATGCCTCCTGAACTCAGACAGGCACCAGACGGTCAATATGGAAAAAAATAAAAAATATAACACGCCCTAAGCTACCACTTCGCTTTCTTTGTGCAACTATTTCTGCGACCTTTTCTCCCACATATAATGCAGCTGCTGGTGTCGAGAAAATATTCTCATTATCTTTCGCATATCGCCCCACTACCGAACTTGAATGGATAGCCGCTAACGGGCACCGCCTTGTGCGATTGATGCGTGATTGGTGAACGACAGTGCATCACGTGCTTCTCTCCAATAATGTCTTGTCAACGACAGTGCGTGACGACATGTATTTCCAAAGCTGAAGGGTGTTTTTGAGAATTCTCAAAAACACCCTTCATGTATTTCCAATAATGTCCTCCGTGCGACTCACCCGAGTCAGTCACCACGTGTCCTATGGACGCCCCGCCAATCGCTGCCGTCGCTCGCATTTCATTTCCAATAACGAGAATGGGAGCCAAGCCCTCAGAGTCGCATACCGGCGCGCTCCTGTAATTATATGAGACTCGAGCTTCGGAATTATATGTGACTCAGCGCGCTCTGTAATTATATGTGACTTACTGTAGCCGACGCGCACCTACAATCATACGAGGCGCTTCTCTTGAATTGCGCCTTATATGAGGAGCCGCGCGGCTGCCATGCTGAATGGCGCTCGTAAGCTCGCATTGGCAATAGATTACAGCCCATCAGTCCCATTTCCAACTTGGAAAGCAACGCCTTTCTTCCCATCCTGTCTGAACTCTACACCCCTGACTCCCACGTGACTCCCACGTGACAGTACACAGCTTTCGTCCGTCTTGTCACGCCCTCTGTTCGCGCCTCAGTTTGCGTCTCTGTTTGCGCCTCTCCCGCCGCCTCTGTTTGCGCCTCTGTTTGCGTCTCTCCCGCCGCCTCTCCCGCCGCCTCTCCCGCCGCCTCTCCCGCGGCGCTCCGCCGGCATCATCATGGGGTCGATGCGCGCCTCTCCTGCCGGACTCGTGCTGCTCGCCCTTGCGCTCATTGCCGGTCAGTCCGTTGCTCTCGCATTGCTTCCATTCGTAAGCCTTTTTCCCCGTAGCCTCCGCTTCTCCTGCTCGCTTTGTTTTCCGCACCTACGCCTCTACTTTCCCCCATCTGCTCTCTCATGTCTGCTCTCATAACTTTTCTACTTTCTCCTCCCTACACGTATGTGCAGCAGCTCAGATGATGACGGCAGCGCATGGTGACGACACGATGAAAAGCAGCATGGCACACCGTAGCATGCTGCGAAGCACGATGCTGAAAGGCGCGTATGCCAGTAGGGAAGGCGCAGAGGCGGAGACAGCGAGCAGGAAGGGCAATGCACGCCGGATTGCGCTAGAGACCACCACCGCTGGCACCACCGGCAGCAGCACCCCCCCTGACGACACCCCTACTGTCAGCAACCCCCCTGTCAATATCCCCATTGACAGCACCCCTGTTTTCAGCACCACTGCCAGCAGCACCACCACCGGCAACATCACCAGCAGCACCAGTGGTACGTTCATTGGATGTGATTTTGAAGGGCAGTGATTCCAAAGAATGTGATTCCAAAGAGCGTGATTCCGAAGTGCGTAATCTACAGTGCCTTTTTCTGAAGGACTGTGTGTCTTGCCGCCCCTTGCTTGCTGCGTTCCTCAGCCTCTTACTGTGGCGCCTGCCCCTCTGGAGCCCAATCCGACTCGGATTGTGTCGGACACTCTCAAGGACTGTGTCTCTTGCTGCCCCTTGCTTGCTGCGTTCCCACACTCTGAAGGACTGCTGTGGCCTCTTGCAGTGGCGACCCTCCGCAGCCTCTTGCTGTGGCGCCTGCCCCTCTGGACCCCAATCCCACACTCTGAAGGACTCTGCCCCTCTGGACCCCAATCCCACACTCTGAAGGACTGTCTCTCTTGCCGCGCCTTGCTGCTGTTAGAGGCACACTGTCTGGAATGACACTGCCCATGCCATTCTGGTGTCATTCTAAGCATTCATATCTTTACACGTTGCACCTTTCTTCTCGCCTCTGCTGCAGATACTGCCTGTGCCGCGTTGGCCTGTGAGCCTGGTAGCAAATGGGCGGTGGCTCAAAACGGAGCCTTGTAGCGTAATACTATCTCCCAAGACGGAGCCTATAATGTCTCCCATACCTGTTTTCTGATGCCCATTTCTCTTCGCCTCTGCTGCAGATGTTCCTGCCTGTGTGGCGTTGGCCTGTGAGCCTGGTAGCAAATGTGCCGTGGATCAAAACGGAGGGCGCTACTGCCAGTGGCGTAAGTATTTCTGAGTTGACTTTTGAGTCAACTCTAAAGTCAAATGTGCCGTGGATCAAAACGGAGGGCGCTACTGCCAGTACCGTAAGTTACGCCACTGAGGTGACTTCTTTCCTGCTCTGTCACTGAGGTGACTTCTTTCCCGCTCTGCCAGTAAGGTGAGTTCTTTCCTGCGCTGTCAATGAGTGGAGCCACACCCACACCCATCCCTCACTCATCCATTCCCCCTCCCTTGCTTGCTGCGTTCCCCAGCCTCTTACTGTGGCGCCTGCCCCTCTGGACCCCAATCCCACACTCAAATACCCTCACATACCGCACTGCACCCATGCCCACCCCTCAGCCTCACTCTGTGGCGCCTGCCCCACGGGAGCCACCTGCAAGACTAAGCTGACTCCTGACTCAACGCTGTCAGTGCCGTACTGTTCGTGCCCTGACGGCTATGGGATAACCACAACCGGCTGTGTTCAGGGTGAGCCTCCTTGATGCATGCTCTCGTGATATTGAAGTGCTTTTGAGGTGTCTCGAAAACCCCAACCGACTGTGTTCAGGGTGAGCTTTGTTGATGCATGCTCTCCCCACCCGTCCCACTCTCCCCACCCGTCCCTCTCTCCCCACTTGACCCACTCTCCCCACCCGTCCCACTCTCCCCACCCTTCCTCACTCTTTGCTTCACCTTCCTCACTCTGCCATGTTGGTCGAATGCTCGTGGGGTTCTGGCTCTGCATGTAGGAGTGTTTGGGCGTCCTTCCTTTGTGTGTGCAGCCGACAAACAGTGCACTGATTCCTTCCTTCGTGCCCGTCTTTATCATCACAGGTAGACATCCCACTGTCTCTTCCTACAGCTACACCTACGTTGAAATAAGATTGAGAAATCTCAAACGTGATTCCAACAATGTGCTGAGTCCTTCCTTTGTGCCGGTGACAAACACTGCTCTCTCACTCCTTCCTTTGTGCACCTCTTTATCATCACAGGTAGACATCCCACCGTCTCTTCCTACAGCTACACCTACGTCATGAACGACATGTATGCCTACACCTTCCGCCTCCGGCTGAATGTGTGCGGCGCCTCACAAACACTGCTCTCACTCCTTCCGTTTGTGCCCCTGTTTATCATCACAGGTAGACATCCCACCGTCTCTTCCTACAGCCGCACCTATGTCATGAACGACATGCATGCCTACACCTTCCGCCTCAGGCTGAATGTGTGAGGCGCCTCACAAACACTGCTCTCACTCCTTCCGTTGTGCCCCTCTTTATCAACACAGGTAGACATCCCACTGTCTCCTCCTACAGCTACACCTACGTCATGAACGACATGTATGCCTACACCTTCCGCCTCAGGCTGAATGTATGCACTCCGATTCCGGAAGGAGCGCTTGGCCTGGTCACGATAATATATGGCATGGACAACATTGGGGATGCTCCCGCTTGCAGCAATATTAAGTTCTACGATTCGAATTATTGTCAAGGCAAAGCTTTCTACGAAGAGTGGCCACTCGAGCAAGCATTTCAGGACCTTTTGAGGGGACATGCTATAACGTAAGTGATCGATCCTGTTCCACCTGCACTGTGAGCGATTGCACGTCTGCACATCTTCTCCTCTTCCCTTTCTTCGCCTATTATCGTAGGTGAAGCATTGTGAGTCATCACATCTTATCCTTTTTGTTATCCCATTGTTACCATTGACCAGGGGCCAACAGTATGTTACAGGCGGCTCAATTATGTGTAGGTAGGATGGGTCGGAATGGCGGCGGCACTGATTATGTCGTCATGTGCACATGCTTGTTGGATGGTTTCTCTCTTTCACTAGATGGAGACCCGGTGGAGAGTGTTTGTACCAACCATTGCACCAGTGCTAGGGATCTCTGCTTGAGAAACGTTTGCAGTAGAGCTGTATGTGTTGTGCTTTCAAAATAACAGTACCGTACGCTTTACAGGTGTATTTGATGTTTCAACTGTGGTCCCGAGAGTGCAGAAACGCTCCCTTACAAACATCAGAATCACATATTTCTTCAATACCGTAGTTTTTTTATCCTGAGCTGGTGGCATCCAATCCAATCCAACGGCACCACGTTCCCGAAAACCAGTAATCTTATGGTAGTGCCATTACTGTAGAGCTGGTCAGGCACACAATTTGCATTATAGAGTAGCAGGCTGCCCCTGTGAACCGTGTATAGTCTGAGCAGACTCAGAGGGTAGGGCTTTATCGAGTGGAGGGGAGGAGAAGCTGTCTTCAAGATAAAGCATGTGCAGTGCAGATAGGTAACACCAACGTCAGTGCAGTCATCGAGCGAGCGTGCGTGCGTGCGCGTGTGTGCGCGTGTGAGTGCGCGTCTGTGTGCGCGTCTGTGTGCGCGTGTGTCTGTGTGTGTATCAAATTGATGCACTGCATTTGATTATCTCGAGGTGTCCTGATGGCTACGGGATGACCCCGAAACACCAATGTCTAATTCTATGGGATGGCAGATAAAACGTTTTCTCATAAGAGGAAAACACTCAAGCAAAGCAGCATACGCCGCAAAACCACATCCAAATCAAAACCAAAAGGTCACCATTTAGGTTCACTACTTGGGGTCAGCATTTGGGGTCATCATTTAGGAAACTCCACAATGCTAGTGCACCCTAAGGAAATGACGTACTGGTAGTCACGAAGAGCAAAATTGTCCCTGGTTAGTAATAACAAGGAGGGTGGGAGGGGGAGGACGGGAAGGAAGGGGGGGGGAGAGGGGGGAGAGAGAATAAGATGTCAGGGAAGGGAAAGGTACCGATTACTGGTGCAAAAAGGGAAGCGAAAAAGCTCGGTGCGTGCGGCCAGGGTGGGAAAGGTACCGATTACTCACGGGAAGCATCGGGCCATCAGCGACGGAGGAGATGTTTTTGAATCAAAGAGGGAAGTGCGGCTAGGGTAGAAAGGGACTGAATGATTACTCACGGGAAGCATCGCGCCAAACGCGACGGAGGCGATGTTTTCGAGCCAAAGAGGGAAGTGCGGCTAGGGTGGAAAGGGACTGATTGATTACTCACGGGAAGCATCGGGCCATAAGCGACGGAGGAGATGTATTTGAGTCAAAGAGGGAAGTGCGGCTAGGGTGGAAAGGGACTGAATGATTACTCACGGGAAGCATCGGGCCATCAGCGACGGAGGCGTTGTCTTTGAATCGTAGTATGCGTACGGAGATGCACAGTTAGGCTTTGAGTAGATGTTGACAGCTGGGCAGTTCTGAACAGTGCCGACATTGTGAACCATGCACATTATCATGGCCTTTCCAGCCAGTGCTTCTGGGATTTGAGTGCAGCCCGTGATGTTGAGGCGGAAAGTATAGGGTTGAAAAGCCCCTGTTTGATTTGAGAATAGGGTGACACTGGATGAGGAGACTGTTGAAGGTCCACCTGCGAAAGAGGGGCACAAAAAAGTACTCTTGAGGGTAGTGTTTGCTTGCACCTCCTTGCATACATGCATGTATGCCCTCCCGCTCATACATGCATCTTAGACCAGCATCATTTGTTCAACCAACTCAGCAGAGCAAGGACTTGGAAGGTGAGGCAAAGAGTGGGGTGAGCGGGGGAAGGGGAGAGTGGGATGAGCGGGGGAAGGGGAGAGTGGGATGAGCGGGGGAAGGGGAGAGTGGGATGAGCGGGGGAAGGGGAGAGTGGGATGAGCGGGGGAAGGGGAGAGTGGGATGAGCGGGGGAAGGGGAGAGTGGGATGAGCGGGGGAAGGGGAGAGTGGGATGAGCGGGGGAAGGGGAGAGTGGGATGAGCGGGGGAAGGGGAGAGTGGGATGAGCGGGGGAAGGGGAGAGTGGGATGAGCGGGGGAAGGGGAGAGTGGGATGAGCGGGGGAAGGGGAGAGTGGGATGAGCGGGGGAAGGGGAGAGTGGGATGAGCGGGGGAAGGGGAGAGTGGGATGAGCGGGGGAAGGGGAGAGTGGGATGAGCGGGGGAAGGGGAGAGTGGGATGAGCGGGGGAAGGGGAGAGTGGGATGAGCGGGGGAAGGGGAGAGTGGGATGAGTGCGAAGAGTGGAAAGTAGGGCGAGTGGGAAGGAAGTGTGGAGATTGGGGCGAACAGGGAGAGGATAGAGTGTGCAGATCAGAGAGACAGTTGAAGCGCCTCAAAATGTGTCATCACCCCATGGCCTTACACAGCACGCGCAGTAAGACGCGGGCAATGCATAAGAGTTTTGCGGCGCCTTACAATTCACCCGTAACACAACTGGTTGGGGTCATCCCATGGCCTTCCAGGCACTCGCAGTAAGGCACCGGCGATGCATGAGAGCGTTGCGGCGCCTTTAAAATCACCCCAATCCTCACCCCAAAACTCACCCCAAAACTCACCCCAAAACTCACCCCAAAACTCACCCTTAACACAACTGGTCGGGGTCATCCCATAGCCTTCAGGACACGCGCAGTAAGGAACCAGCAACCCACTGTTGTCAGTTGCAGGCACGTTCTTGCAGGTGGCTCCAGTGGGACAGGCGCCACAGGGTGTCTCTGAGGGGTGGGGTGGGAATGGGTGCAGAGCGGTATGATTTTTGAGGCGCCTCAACAGCAGTAAGGCACCTGCACCGCTCTGTTGTTAGTCGCAGGCATGGTCTTGCAGGTGGCTCCAGTGGGACAGGCGCCACAGGGTGAGTCTGAGGGGTGAGAATGGGTGCAGTATGGTATGTGAGGGCACAAACAGTAAGGCAAGAAATAGGAACGCCTATAGACGTCAGGGTACAGGAATGTGTATGACAGTCATAGGCAGTGTGTGTATGACAGAGACAGAGACAAAGGGCGTGGCTGTGGACTGAGATACAGCATATGGGAATCGCCCTTCAGAGGAAGGCAGATGATGAAGTGATGTTTCGAGCTGCCTCAAAACAGTGTATGCATGACAGAGACAGAGGCAAGAGGGCGTTGCGATGGGCTGAGGCATGCCAAAAGGGAATCGCCCTTCAGAGGAAGCCAGACGATCAAGTGATGTTCTGAGCCGCCTCAAACCAGTGTGTGCATAACAGAGACAGAGGCAAGAGGGCGCTGCGATGGACTGAGGCACGCCACAAGGCAAGAAATGGGAGCGTTGCATGGCAGAGGCAGAGGCAAGGCAAGAGGCAAGAGGCAAGAGGCAAGAGGCATGGTCAGTGGACTGAGATACCCCACAAGGGAAATCGCCCTTCGGAGAAAGTCAGAGTGACTCACGCCCTTCACAATCACGCCCTTCACAATCACGCCCTTCACAATCACGTCTTCTGAGCCTACCACTGGTGCTGCCGGTGCCGCCAGTGCCGCCAGTGGTGGTGCTGGTGCTGTCAGCAGGGGTGTCAGCAGGGGTGTCAGCAGGGGTGGTGCCAGTGGTGGTGCTTCCGTCGGTGGTGCTGCTGTTGGTGGTGGTCTCTAGCGCAATCCGCGCATTCACCTTCCTGCTCGCTGCTCCCGCCACCGTGCCTTCTCCATTCGCGTCATAGAGCATCGTGGTTCGCAGCATGCTACGGTGAGTCATCCTTTTCACCGTGTCGTCGCCATGCGCTGCCTTCATCATCAAAGCTGCTGCAAAGGACAAGGGAGAGGGCGTGCGGCGAAGAGAACAGAGAGAAGAATGAGAAATGAGAGGATCGAGTTGAAAGTTAGAGGTGGAAAAAACGGAAGCGAGCAGGAAGGGGACATCAGGGAAACCCCTTGGAAGGCATTATTTGAGAGCTTAGGATACAAGGGAAGGCTGGTTACAAGTCAACAGAAACCCTTTCAAAGGCATGTTTCAAAAAGTCTTGAACAAGCCCTCTCTGCAAAAGAATTTGCTCCAGAAGCCCTTTGAAATGCATGATTCGAATGCGTTCCAGGGGCTGTTCAATTCAACAGAAACCTTTCGAAGGGTATGAATCAAGGCAAGGGCAGATTACAAGTCAACGATGTTTCAGCAATGACTCATTGCTGAGAGAAGTAGACTGACCGCAGATGAGTGCAATGGCGAGCAGCAGGAGCCAGGCAGGAGAGGCGCGCATCGACGCCATGATGACGGGCGGAGGGCCGGCGGCGGGAGAGGCGGCGGGAGAGAAGAGCCGCAACAGGGTTCCGAGCTGTGAGGAAATCGGAGCCGTATGTCACTCACTGAATGCGGTTCGAAAGTCAGCAAGCACGATGGGTGGGATGAAGGACAATCCAGGGCAAATGCGGAACGAAGGACTGTGCTGAGCTGGGGGCTTATATCGCGAGTTGCGAGCGCGAGCCAAGCACGGCAGCCGCTGCGCCATCTTAGATTGGAGCGCGATTCGATGTGCTACATATAATGCAGTGCTGGGTCTCTGGATCGCATATGATGCAGTCCCTAGCTCAAGTCGAACGTATAAATTAGTGCTTTGGCACGAGTGTGCCAGAGGGACGATGTGCCTGGTAGCGTGATAAGGGCGTGTAACCATTTTGATTTTTGGCGTTTTTACGGACTGTTCGAAATTTCTGAAACGGACGGTCCTAATATCGAGAATGGAACCGTCCGTATTGACGTTTCGGGACTTTGGCCGTCCGGATGGATAAATGACACTTTTTTGGAGCTTTTTTTGCGATACTGTAGCCTCGCTAGAAACACTGTATCTTCGTAACTTTGTTCACTACATGTCGCGATTACTGTTCGTTCGCCAATCATTACAGGCAAATAAGAATATTTCTCGCGCGCCAATCTCTGGCCAGGACCGCTGGACCGTCCGTTTGAATTTTGGACTGCCCACGGTTCACATTTCGAACCGACGGTTCACATTTCGAAAAGAGGAAAAAGTGTCACGACGGTTCGAACTGTTGACGACGTCGTACAAGCTTCAACGAACAATTGAACGACATTGTGCGATGCTAATAACCCGTCGCTGACCCGAACGGTCCTCTGTCCGAACCGTCCGGGTCAAAATGGTTACACGCCCTAAGCGGAAGTGTGGGCTTGGCTCGAGTAGGCTGCAAACACCTCGAGTGTTGCGATGCGATGCGTGCGACGGCGCAGATTGGCGGAGCGTTCGTGTGTCAGCTGAAAGACTCGGGTGAATCGCAGGGGCGAAATTATTGGAGGGGTGGTCATGTAACGCACAGTCGTCAACGAATCACAAATCAGTCGCACAACGTGGTGCCCTACTCCGTTTGTCGCATCTTTGCTATATGCATCAAATCGTGTAATACAGCAGAACTAAACGACAGCTTTTCTCTAACTAGAAGCTGCATTGTGCTGGAGCAGGAAGAAAGCAACCACACCATAACCTCTAATGCATATAAACCTCGTTGTTTTCAAATCAACCTTCAGTCCTGGTCCAATGGTAGTACAATATTTACTCTTCCTAACCACAGTAAAATTCCCAGTGAAAAACCTGTCTCTCATTTACAGGGAAACATTTAACTGGCATAACAAAAAAGCGAATGCTAATATACCAGTTCCCCGAAGTAGCCTTCTCACACACTGAAGGACTTGAGCATTTTTCTAAGCTTGGCTTCACCCGAAGCCCACTGCTTGTCATTTGCACTGATCACCAGCAGCAGCACTGTGCTGCCCTTGGCCGTGGCAGAGGCCAGATTGTAGGCTCCCGAGCGTGCGTAGGGCGTTTCCAAATAATACTCGTAGTACTGTGGTGGTGGAAATGGGGGGAGGTTCGGCGGGGAAGGAGCAGGGTTTATATGAAGAGTTGTTTCAGCAGCAGCACGGTGCTGCCCTTGGCCGTGGCAGACGCCAGGTTGTAGGCGCCCGAGCTTGCATAGGGCGTTTCCAAGTAGTATTCGTAGTACTGTGGTGAGAGAGGGGGGATGGGAGGGCGGGGAGGGGGAGGGAAGTAAGGGCCAAGGTCGGCAAGGTCGCGTGCCCACTAGATGGTCAGCGCCGTCAGAGCTGCCCATTGTCCACCACCAGTCGCAACCCAGATTTCTAGCGAGGTGGCTTTTGAGGCGACTCAAAAGTCACCCACTAGATGGTCAGTGCAGTCAGAGCTGCCCATTTTCCACCACCAGTCCCAACCCAACCCAAATTTCTGAAGCAGCTCAATCCCCTAACAAGGCACCCCAGGAAAAGAAAGCGGGGGGAGGAGAGGAGGGAAGGGGGTTGGAGAGAGGGGGTTTGGGCGGGCGGGGAGAGGGTGTGGGGGGAGAGAGGGGGGACAAAAGAAGAACAGGAAAGAAGCTTGCACTCTGTCCGTCCTCCTTGCGAATGCGCCAGTGCAGGTCTGTCCTGCTTCCACATCTAGGTCGCACGAGTTGCCCCGCCAGAACCAACTTACTCTCCCACCAACAACCCTGAGCTTCTTGGACACGCCTTAACCCTTAAACAGGATCTGTTGACAAAAGGGGAAAAATGTAATGAACATAATAAAAATAAACAGAGCACAAAGTAAAAAAACACTCACCGTCTGGCTGCCCCCCTTGCAAATGTGCGTGGGATCCACCACCCCATCCGGGTCGTAGAGTCACCCGCCACGAACGGGCCGAGTGCCGCTACGATGACCCACCCCCTCCCTCCCCTCCCCCCCCCCCCCCCCCCCCCCCCCCCCCCTCCCGCCCTCCCTTCCCCATTCCACCTCACAAGCAAAAAGCACTCACCGGCTGGCCGCCCTCCTTATGAATGCGCGTGTCATAACTTCATCCGGGCCGTACGAGTCGCCCGTCATGAACGGGCTGAGGGCCGTGATGATGGAAGAACCAAACACACGAAGAGACAAACACACAGAGAGACAAACACACAAAGAGTCGGACTCACCGTCTGGCCACCCTCCTTGCGAATGCTCGTATCGATGACTTCATCCGAGTCATACGAGTCGCCCGTGACAAACGGGGCGAGCGCCTCTATAATGCGATCTGGCGTGCCGATCTCCTCTGCTCTCAAGTGACAAACAACCCATCCACCACCAACACACACACGGCACTCACCGTCTGGCCGCCCTCCTTGCGAATGCTCGTGTCGATGACTTCATCCGGGTCATACGAGTCGCCCGTGACAAACGGGCCGAGGGCTGCAATAATGCGCTCTGGCGTGCCGATCTCCTCAATAGGCAGCTCGAGCTTGTTGGTCAGGCGCACCATTGGGGATGCCACCACCTGGAGCACAGCAGCAGCACATCACACATGTGCATTGGAAAGCCAGAGATGAGAGAAGGGCTAACAACAGGCTAACAAAGCAAGCAGGTATGCCGATCTCCTCAATGGGCAGCTCGAGCTTGTTGGTCAGGCGCACCATGGGTGATGCCACCACCTGGGAAGAGCATGCACGGGCCGGTGTCAGGGGTCGGGGGGGGGTGGGGGGGGGGGGGGGGGGGGGGGGGGGGGGGGGGGGAGAGAAACAGCACATAAAACAAATAAGCTGAAGAACATGCGGAACACAATGATTAGGTAAGTCGGCCTCCTCAATGGGCAGCTCGAGCCTGTTGGTCAGACGCACCATGGGTGATGCCACCACCTGCAGCACAGAGTGCACAGGGCGCGGGAAGGAGAGGGAACCAAACATGAGGCCCAAGAGTAGGCTTCAGTCCAGGCAAGACACGGCAAACAGACAGGGGTGCCGATCTCCTCTGAAGTGGACACCAGTTAGGTGTCATTGCAATAATACAGAGGAATAGCCACGTGAGACGTCTCAAATCACTACTTTTTATCTTAGGGCAAGGTGTTCAAGGCGAGGAGAGCAGGGGACAGAGGAATATCCATTTGAGACGTCTCAAAACACTACTTTTTATCTTAGGGCAAGGTGTTCAAGGCGAGGAGAGCAGGGGACAGAGGAATATCCACGTGAGACGTCTCAAAACACTACTTTTTATCTTAGGGCAAGGTGTTCAAGGCGAGGAGAGCAGGGGACAGAGGAATATCTACGTGAGACGTCTCAAAACACTACTTTTTATCTTAGGGCAAGGTGTTCAAGGCGAGGAGAGCAGGGGACAGAGGAATGGGATGATCAGATTGCGGGAGACAGGAGCCGTGTTTTGAGTCGACTCAAAACACGGTTCAGCGCGAGGAGAGCAGGAAACGGAGTAATGGGATGATCAGATTGCGGGAGACAGGAGCCGTGTTTTGAGTCGACTCAAAACACAGTTCAGCGCGAGGAGAGCAGGAAACGGAGTAATGGGATGATCAGAGTTTGGGAGACGGGACGCGCTACATCATGTTACATCTCATACCTGCAGGGTGCCCTCCTTAGGGTCCTCAAACTTGACTTCGATCCAAGGCTCAGCGCACTTGGGCTGGCAGTAGTTGCCCGAGAGGATGTTGGCGATGAGAGGATGTCCGTTCTAATCTAAGGCCCGTACCTGCAGCAAGCCCGCTCGTACCTGCAGCAAGCCCGCTCGTACCTGCAGCAAGCCCGCTCGTACCTGCAGCAAGCCCGCTCGTACCTGCAGCAAGCCCGCTCGTACCTGCAGCAAGCCTGCTCGTACCTGCAGCAAGCCTGCTCGTACCTGCAGCAAGCCCGCTCGTACCTGCAGCAAGCCCTCCCGTACCTGCAGCAAGCCCGCCCGTACCTGCAGCAAGCCCTCCCGTACCTGCAGCAAGCCCGCCCGTACCTGCAGCAAGCCCGCCCGTACCTGCAGCAAGCCCGCCCGTACCTGCAGCAAGCCCTCCCGTACCTGCAGCAAGCCCTCCCGTACCTGCAGCAAGCCCTCCTTAGGGTCCTCGAACTTGACTTCAATCCATGGCTCCGCGCACTTGGGCTGGCAGTAGTTGCCTGAGAGGATGTTGGCGATGCGCGACTGAGTCCACGTGGGTGGGATGTTGAACGTGTAGGGCGACACGTTACCTGGGAGAAAGGGGGTTGATGTGCGAGGGAAAGGAAGCCAAGCAGGGGCCCAGCGGAAACGGAGGGTGGATGGGAGAAAGGGGGGAGAAAGGGGAATTCAGGGAATGGAAGGAGGAGTGGACATGCTGTGTGCTCAGGATGGCTCAAAATCCTCCCCCTTTCACGCGTGGCTCCGCGCACTTGGGCTGGCAGTAGTTGCCTGAGAGGATGTTGGCCATGCGCGACTGAGTCCACGTGGGTGGGATGTTGAACGTGTAAGTTGACACGTTGCCTGGGGGAAAAGGTGGGGTCGAGAGAGCACACAGAGCGGGGGGGGGCGGATGGTGGCGATGCAACACTGTGCCCAGGTGGGCGGGATGTTGAACGTGTAAGGGGACACGTTGCCTGGAAGAGAAAGGGGAGGGTTGGAGAGAGAGGGGGAAGGAGGGGGGGGTCAAGCTGAGGGAATGAGGTAGGAGGGATGCGCGCCTGCGTCCATGTGGGCGGGATGTTGAACGTGTAAGGTGACACGTTGCCCGGAAGAAGGGGGGATAGGAGGGAGAGGGGAAGGAGTGGAATGAGGTAGGAGGAATGGCAGATGGGAGGAGGCGGGATGTTGAAAGTGTAGGGACACACTTTGCCTGGGAGAGGGGGAATGATGTAGGAGGGATGGTGCAAGGAAGGAGGTGGGACGTTGAATGGGTAGGGGACACGTTGCCTGGACCGGGGTGTGGGTTGGGGAAAGTGGGGACTAGGGGAGGAACGGGGGAGGGAGGACCAAGGGAAAACGGGATAGTGGAAGGGAGGAGGGTGGATGTTGAACGTGCAGGACTTGACGATGCCTGGAAGGACAGTCGGGTGGGGAGGTGGGGAAGGGAGGGAGGAGGGTGGAAATGGAAGGAAGGGGACAGTCAGTATTGTGAGATGATGTCTTGTGGTGATATGGTAGCCGTGTGGTGATATGGTAGCCGTGTGGTGATATGGTAGCCGTGTGGTGATATGGTAGCCGTGTGGTGATATGGTAGCCGTGTGGTGATATGGTAGCCGTGTGGTGATATGGTAGCCGTGTGGTGATATGGTAGCCGTGTGGTGATATGGTAGCCGTGTGGTGATATGGTAGCCGTGTGGTGATATGGTAGCCGTGTGGTGATATGGTAGCCGTGTGGTGATATGGTAGCCGTGTGGTGATATGGTAGCCGTGTGGTGATATGGTAGCCGTGTGGTGATATGGTAGCCGTGTGGTGATATGGTAGCCGTGTGGTGATATGGTAGCCGTGTGGTGATATGGTAGCCGTGTGGTGATATGGTAGCCGTGTGGTGATATGGTAGCCGTGTGGTGATATGGTAGCCGTGTGGTGATATGGTAGCCGTGTGGTGATATGGTAGCCGTGTGGTGATATGGTAGCCGTGTGGTGATATGGTAGCCGTGTGGTGATATGGTAGCCGTGTGGTGATATGGTAGCCGTGTGGTGATATGGTAGCCGTGTGGTGATATGGTAGCCGTGTGGTGATATGGTAGCCGTGTGGTGATATGGTAGCCGTGTGGTGATATGGTAGCCGTGTGGTGATATGGTAGCCGTGTGGTGATATGGTAGCCGTGTGGTGATATGGTAGCCGTGTGGTGATATGGTAGCCGTGTGGTGATATGGTAGCCGTGTGGTGATATGGTAGCCGTGTGGTGAAACGCTCGAAAGCGAGAATCCGGAATCTCGAAGGCGCGTTGGAGGCCCATGCATTCGTTTCTGGCATAGCAGAGGTGACTTTTGAGTCGACTCAACGCGATGGAGGTCTGGGCATTCGTTCTTGGCCTGATAGTGAATGTAGTAGGAGCACACGAGGCTTGAGATGGGGACTCCATTTGTTGAAACCGACGGACGGGAAGGAGGAAGGATCGGACTTCAAAAGAACATCAGAGCAAGGCTTGTGAATGTGTGGATCGGAAAGTGTGGAATATTGTGTGGATGTGTCTGTGAGTATGTGAGAGGTGAGGGGATAGATTGTGCGAAAAACTGCAGCGGAAAAAGGATAACGGAAAAATAGTCGACGTAATCATAACGCATTCTCCTCTTTATATACTGACCTTTACAGATCGCTCCATTATTTCGAGGCGGTTCGACCACAGGACACAGTGGATTGTAATTATACGTTCCGTCGCTTTCATTGTCGTCCATAAGTTACACTAGATTGTAGTTACAGATTTCCGTCGCTTTCATTGTCGTCCATAAGTTACACTAGATTGTAGTTACAGATTTCCGTCACTTTCATTGTCGCCCATAAGGACGGCCGTGTTCCGTTCCTTTCAAAAGTGAGGAAAGAGGGAGGGAACTTGGCCTTACGGGAGAAACGCTACCAGGGAAAAAGTGAGCATACGAGGCGTCAGCGCGTCGTAGTCTCACCTGCTCTAAGAGCAGGCGTGTCCTTCATTCCCGGAGTGAACACGACAAACTCGCCATCCTCTGACTTCGGCAGGAACGCTCCAACCTGCTTCGGAACGGTTATGGCGGACGCGTCACCAGCGGCTACTACGGGAGAAAGCGCCACGGCAGCCATTGACAGCAGGACGCTCCGGCGGTCCAGCTGGGACGACTTTACGTCATCGTCGCGGGATGCTGAGCTAGCAGCAGCGCGGGTGAGTCGACGTGGAACAATATTTAGAGCGGACGGTTGGGTATCGATGGCGTGTGAGACAAAAGTGTGTTGAAGAGCGAGGGACGGGTTGGAGATGGTCGAAAGGGAAGCTTGAAGAGCCGCCATGGCGAGTGATTACCAGGAATGAGAAACAGGAAATATACTAGCAGCAGCAGCAGCAGTACGGGCTGATTCAAGGCCTGCAAACTATCCGAACAGCTATATAGTTCAGAGAATGAAGCAGGACCAGGTCAGCGGTGATAACGCAAGCCTGAAGCACGAACCTCCTGCTGACAAATAAGTTACCTCGAGCTTCGTTCTTCAGGTTCTTCTGGCAATAAAAGTTCAATTCTTCCCCCCAGCAGCTCTTTCTGGTTCAGAGCAGAATCATCGCAAGTCAGCCATGGATGGGAAGCCCAAGCCATGCCCATCGATGTTGCCGTTGACGAGCTAACGAAACACTGGTTATTAGTTGGCGAAAGCCGTTCGGGGTATCCACCCAATCAAGGGAATTTTCGTCTTGTTTTGCCTGAGGCCTTCTGGTGGAACAAGCGGAACGAAATGGGATTCGTGTGGTGACAGTCTCGCGAACCACCGTGGCGATTATCGTTTATTGGAGCCACCCATCCAAGGGGTGGCGGATCAACGTGTCAAGCCGAATCACAACCGGATTTTGGTGATGGCGTGGCAAGCAGGCAACGTGGCCAAGTAAGGATCCGACGTTGGTCGCAGGTGACGTGTAATCCAAAAGCCTGACAAGATTCCAGGGCATTTACCATGCTCGATAAGCAGCCTTAGCTGATGCCCTTCCAGAGCCTGCTAGGAAATAGATGAAACAGAATGATTCACATAAACACGAAATAGAATAAAGTGTTATTTCCAATACAAGTACAAGGAGCATGCTGGATGCATAAGCAATAGAACCCCCAACCCAGCCTAGAGCATACAGCTGACTCCTAAATAAGAGCACAGCATCAGCATATCGCCCTCTTTGCCACTGGCACTGAAAGGTCAAATGAGGACCACCCATCTCCTCGTTGGGCGCAACAGGGCACATAACAGTCCCCGCGTGACTTTTCACGATGATACATTTTCACATATTCTAAACAGGGACATCAGCGGCAAGGTGGTGCCGTGGACCCTGAACTGAATCCGTCAAAAGAGCTGCACTGGCGGCAACTTGCATTGGATCCTGTAACAGCCAGTGTCGCCAGCGTGGTCAGCGTGATGGAGTTGAGGTGAAACAGAGCGCTGCCGGCATTCCGCATTCACAAATTGTTAATGGATTAGCCCTTGTGGAGACCAGAGCCTTCGCCAAACCAGCTCTTGTGGAACCACGGAGAAGCAAACCGAGCTTGCCTGGCAGGTGTCCTCATGACCAGATGAGAAAGGATCAGCAGGCTGCCTCTCCTTTGCTAGGAGAGTAAAAGTCCAGGTTGGCAGGGTTCAGCAGGTAGCAATTTCCTTGGGATGATCAGCAAGGATCAGCAGATGCCATCATGTCAGGAACAGCAGGATCAGGAGGTTGTGCCATGCCTTAAGATGGCCAGGAAGGAAGGAACAGCTGATGTCATCGTGACAAGAACAGAAAGGTTCAGCAGCTCGTGCCCATGCCTTAAGATGAACAGGAAGGAACCGTAGATGTCATTGTCACCGACCCGCATGTCTTCACAAATGGCGGGCCTGCCTTGCACACCCGCATCACCACAGGTCCCTGAACCACCTTCCCCATGAAATTCGGAAACTGGAATTTATACTGCCGCTGACAACCCCGCCCAGCAGTCCCTTTACTCAACCGAATGTAACGCTTGTTATTATTTTTAACCACTGTAACATACTTCGATGTTGGGGGTGTAGGGCAGGCCTTCGCGAGCGGAATCAGCACAGCCGCGACGTACGGTCCGGTTTTGCACCACGGAGTGAAGGTTGGAAATTTCGCCATCCCCGATTGCGCCGCGCTCTGCACCTGCCGCTGCGCGGAGCTGGCGCTATGACTGGCATCCTTCGCTGCGGTTTGCGCGCTCCGGCTTGCGGCTTTCTGAGCCGAATTCGCGCTCTGAGCCGCGTTTTTCGAAGCCGAGCTGGCGCTTTTACCCGTGTTCCGTTTCGCGGAATTGACGCTCTTGCTGGCGCTCTTTCCTGCAGACGTGGCGCTCTTCTGCATGTTCTGCTGAGCTGTCATCAGGTTTCGGCTAGCGTCAGCCTGGAGGTGTTGAGCGGCGCGATTGAGGAGCTCGCCGAGCATGCGACGCATGCGACGCAGGCGACCAGTGAACGAATTTTCGGAGACGACTGAGTCTCGATGCTCGTCAGAAGCGAGGTTGAAGCGACTAGCTAGAACGCGACCAGGCGCCGACAAGGTTGTTGAGTTGCCGCCGCTGCTGCTGCTGTTGCTGCTGCTGCCGCTGCCAGTGGTGCTGTTACTGCTGCCGTTGGTGCTGTTGCTGCTCCCTCCAATCCCACCACCGTCAATAGAACCACCGCTACTAGCACCACCGTTACTGCTTCCCCCACTGCCACTGCCACCCCCACCAGAACCAGCATCTGTGGAACTCCCACCGCTATTAGCACCAGACGTGCCGTTCCCTGACGTGCTATTACCAGTTGTGGGCGGTGGTTGGTCAACAGGCGGGTAGTTAGGAGGCGGAGGAGGGGACGGGTAGTTGGGAGGCGGAGAGGGGGAGGGGTAGTTGGGAGGCGGAGAGGGGGACGGCGGAGTGGGGGAGGGGGAAGGGGAGGGGGAAGGACAGGGGGACGGCGGAGGGTGGGGCGAGGGGGACGGCGACTGAGACTGTTTGATCGTCGCGTCGTAGACGAACGTCACCGTTTTGCCGACGTCCGCCGTCTGAATCTTGACGGTTGCTCGCAACAGCGTCTGCGGCGACGAGATTGCGGGGGAAGGAGGGGGCATTGGACAGGGAGGGAGGAGAAAGTGTATAGAATAAGTGAACGCGAGTAGGGTTGACACGTGGACGGGTGGAAAGGGAACGTCACTGCGGCTGGCCGTCGCCCGCCGTCTGAAACGCGACGATTGCTCTCAGCAGCGTTTGACTGGACGAGCGGAAAACGAGGACGATGGAGGGGGGTGATCAGAGGTGAACGATGGAGGAGACTATGCATCCAGGCGTTAGATTCCATTTCCTTTTCCCCTCACACGTTAATGCCCCACCGCGAACCAGCCTATTTTATTTCACCCCCTGTGCCTTCCTCCCTCCAACCTCCCCCCTTGCCCCTCCCTCACCCCACGCACTTTCGCTCTCATCCAAATCTTCTGTATCCTTCGCGTACCTCGCCGACTGGTAACATAGCGACGGCGATCTGCGTCGCCATTTTCGTCCCGGCGATAATAAGTCGAAATGGCGACAGCGGGCCAACCCAACTCCTCCTGCCGCCGCCGCGACGATCATGATGATCTCGATAGCCAGAAGTACCAGCAGTCGATCCCGGATTAGTAGCACCGTTGCTCGAGCCGCAGAGGTTACTGCTCGGCTGCTGCTTACTCGCAGCGCTTCCCGCCAGCTGCGCTCCGGCGGAAATCAGAAGGTTCGCGGTGTTGTCCCATCCGAGCCGCCGTCTAGAAGGCGTATCTAGACTCTCCGCGACTGCCGCCGGGTCTAGGCCGAAGGGGGGGTGCTCTAGTAGCTGCTCCGCAGACGTGGCTCGAATGGACGTGGAAAGGAGGAGAACTGAGAGTGCGATGACGATGACGAGACTCTTGTATCTCAAAGGCAGCCGCACACCCATATCTCCGCTACAAGCAGCTCGACTATTAGCACGAGAAACTACTCTGGTACAGATACCAATGTTGGCTAATCGCGCCATTTTAAGAATCCCCTAGTCACCCGGGCCGCGATTGTCCGAGAGACTTGGTCTGGCCAAGCTACTAGCACCCACTTCTTTTAAATTGATCCAGTTTTCTGGAGCTTAAAATCTCTCTAAGGTCGGTCGACTGTGCTTCCAGGAGATACGGAACGGTGGTCTGGAGAAGTCTGTAGGGCGAAGGTAACACAACTTCTCGGCTTGAAAGGCTGGTGTTTCGAATGTTACCAGCGAGCGGCGCCGTGTGAAAAGTAGGAGTCTATGGACGTCGTGCTTTTCGTTGCGAAGCTATCCGCGCAAAAGACTTCAGACTAACACCGCACGGCATAAAACTCTTTTGAACGGCAATTTAGCAGAATGGCCATGGATCCATGGATTGAGATGCGCGGAGGTTGGCGGTCTCGACAGACTACTGTTGAACAGAGAACAGCCAACACCAATGAATCTAGGAAGGACAATGCTGGGGGGTGGTGGTGGTTACACGGAATGTGTGCAGCGTGTGCGAAAATTGGCGAGGTAAGCGTGCACTGCACGCAGGGGCTGACGACCTCAGCGAAAAATGGCAGAAGGGAGGAAAGCAGTAGGGGTCAAGTGAGTTGCATTTTCCCAGCAGGTGTTCGAAAACGCGGATGGATGGTGGGCGGATGAAAGGAAAGGCATCATGAGGAAAGCAACCGTCGCGAGCCAGAACAGAACTGTTTGTTTCAGGGGAACGAGGAGGGGGAGCGGGCGATGGGGGGAAGGAACATTTGTTACACATGGTCCGCGCTATTTTCACACCCCCCTTTTTCACACCCCTGTGTATTCGTTCTTGATTTCCCCTGAATTAGGGATTGTTTCGACCAGTCTGGCTTTAAAGAGGATCCGATTGGGTCACAACTAAACAAAAAACCTAAAACATGGTCGCAGCGGAAGATCCAGTCTTTGCGTTGCAGTCACAGTGTAAGAGTCCTACAACATCGACCCTCCCACAATGCCACGAATAGCCTCCAGTTTCGGGGTGTCTGATACCTCTAGTCAGATAAAGTCAAAAGGGGTTTTAAGGGGAAATCGAGGGGGTGTGAAATTGGCGCGGACTAGGTTGTACATGGGAACGAGGGGGAGCGGCCGATGGGGAGAGGAGAGAGTTGCGGGCTGCTGCAATTTGACAAACAGTACAAATGTACATCACCGCACATCACTCATCATTCATTGTTGCGAATCCGATGCGGTTCGTCTGCAACATCTGTTGATAAATTGCATTCCAAACAGACGACCAGTGCGCTGGCGGGGGGGCAGAAGAGCGAACCAGCCCTAGCTTTGCCTCCCCCAATGAATTGAGATACACTCCACGGCCTTGGCTGGCTCTGCCTCTTTTCAGCACTTATCACCACACCAAACCGCGTCATTACCACCTTTTTACTCTCGGAACCTTGAAGGACCCATCTCAAAGGTTTGGCCGAGCAGGTTTCACGGGTTCTCGAAGAGATTTTTTTTTTTCTCGGTCATCAGATCAGGTGTGGTCACAAACTGTACAAGACCTCCACGCAGGGCTGAAACCAAGTGTGAGCCAATTGGGGCACTGAAATATGTCGGCTGGTTTCAAGGTAACGACGATGACCATGAACCGTTCGATGCTGTCGCTGCCATTGAGAATTGAATCCACCCCACACGATCTGATCAGTTTGGTCTTTTTCCAACCATTTCAGCCTTCTCCTGCAGTTTTGGTTTGTCGTGGCTGCACCGTCATTTGAGAAATTTGGTCAGAGACAGCTATCCACACGGCGCCGAACAGCTATGCCTAGTCTCATCGCTATAAGGTCGTAGCGTTAAATATCTGGCATCATAAATGCTAAAGGGTCAGACTAGGCTTACACCCAAGCCAAATACTATGGGGTACGAGCTTGCAGCAACTCCCTCTGTTGATTTACACTCCCTTAGACATTGGTACAATTATTAGTACAGGAGTAAAGAACTAATACAGCGGAATACAGTTCACCAACACTGCATGGTACATCCTCAGCAATGACCACCCACTTTCTATAGTAGGCATGATTGAATACCACTACCAATGTGGCACCCAACCCAAATCAATAGAGCTACTTCTAATGCACCATAGCTCACTGCTTTGCTTCCTTAACTTCCACGGTTCCATTCATCCCCTTCCCTTCTACGCGCCTGCCTTCGCCCCTTATCCTTTCTAAACCACTTCCCTGCCCCCCCTTTTTCTCTCCTGATCCCGCTATATCTCTGTCACCTCCTACCATGCGTGCACGAGCAGCAGCATAAGCCTCCTCGTCTATAATCTCCTCTAGAGTTGATCTCGCATACTCCTTGGTCGCCACATGGGCGTCAGCTCGCGCCATCAGCGCGTCAACAGTCCATGCAGACGTAGCAGATGTGTCTGGTTGGGTAATGAAAGGGAGGATTGTGAATTCGAAAAAAAAATGCATCAGAGAGTGCTAGCCTCTAAAATTAGGTCAGAGAGACAAATAAACGAGGTGACAAACTGAGACAGTATAGATATAGCGATCGCTCCCTGCAAGTCCTACGCGGCAGCGTGTTATTGGTGCTCAGAAGGCGTATTGAATGGATACAGGTTCTCGTCATTCTGGTATCCGGTTAACGAGATGTTGAAATAATCATTGCACCAGCAAAACGTGTGTACGAGCATCCAGCAAGAAGAAAAATAACGTAGATTCGCGACCGCACACAACAGACTGAAATCAAGGAGCAGGGAAACAGAGACACTTTAGTGAAAGAAATTACCTCGCTTCGACATGGCTGCACACTACGAAACGAGTCCTTGATCTCCGACGGCAATTGAAAGCGAAACCTGAAAAGAAGCAAATTAGAAACGGGTGAAGTTGAATCGTTACAAAGATCAAGGAGACCCTTCGCGGAAGCACGGGCAACGCTACTTTGACAAATGGCGCCGCTCATTCAGAGGCCAGGATTACAAGGGGTTACAGGAAACCAGTTTCGAGAGACCTATGACACTAGCCGCGAATTGAGGCTCAGCTGTTGACTTCGTAGTTACCCTCATCCAGCGTCAAATACATGGACGTCAGCTAAACCCGATGAGCGCAGCATCTGGACTGGACCTTTTTGTTGATGCGAGCGGCAAATTGTCAACTTATTTTTCACTGCGGTTCTATGGGCTTCCTTACGGTAAGCAGTGTCGCGGGTCGTTACCGTTTTGACCGTTCTCGATTTTCAGGAGATTGGTTTGGGAGGGACCCACAGTGGTGCGGTGGGACACCCGTCGACACTGCCGCGAGTTTTCTCGGTGGTGCGTGTTGTGGGTGGTGTGCCACACCACAAATGATCCACGTTCGACATCATCCCCGCTATTGCTGCGTATACTGTGAGCGGTGTACAATTATTGGGGCAACTACCAACGTCATACACATACAGCAAAAGAGCATGCAATTACCATTGATGAAACCTGCTTGGCAATAAGTCTTAGAAACTCCCTTAGTTACTGCATGTAGTGACAGCTTATCTGAGAGTTGTAAAAGCGTTTCCTGATTACCCTCAGAACTGTTGAGCTGAACATGCTCCTTAGAAATACATGAAGGGTTACCATACATGGAACGCCATATGCACACATAGTACAACAGAAACTATAGAATACATTGTCAATCAATCTTTCAGTTAGTGGTTAGTAAGTCAAGATGGCCGTAAGGCCGGAGAGAGGTACCATCATCACGAGTTTCGTCCACGAATCAGTCAAGCGACCTCCACAGCCTCCCCCTCCCCCAGTTGAACTGCATCCTCCGCTGAAGGGGCTTCGTGGCACGCATCCATGTGCCCCTCGCGCCAATCCAGCGCCTGGCACGCGCGGGAGCAGTAGCTGGGGCCCGAGCACACCGCGCAGCAGCGGAACTCCTTCTCGCGCGTCTCCGGCCGCCCGCAGCGCACGTTTCCGCACACCTTCAGTCCGCCCTCGGGCGCGGGGATGCCGTGCTCCGCGTTCCACTCGAGGAGGAAGCGCGAAGCGGGGGGAAGGGGGAGATTTGGAACGGCGCAACCGAAGTCGCTCATGAGCGGGCGCAGGCAGCGGCAGAGAGACTGCAGCAGCTGCGCGGGGGAAGAGGCGCCGTTGGCGGAAGGCAGGTTGCAGGGACCCGCGTGTGAGTGCTCGTGCGCGTGCTCGTGGGCGCACACATGCTCCTGCGCGCGCGACTCCGCCGCGGCAGACGCCGGCACTTGCCCGTCCTTAAACTGCTCCTGCTCGCTACCCCGCGCCTCGTCCGCGCTCAGCTTCGGAATCACCGCCTTCACAGACTTTATCACCGCATCAAGCTGCCGAAGCTTCTGCTCAGCCTCGGGGAAGCCACCTTCTCCAGATAACACCTGGCTGGCTGCGAACTCCCGCAGATTCGCCTCCATCAGTAACCGCCTCCCCTCCGCCACGTTCTTCTTGATCCCGTACCCGTCCTGCAAGCAGTGCCCCAGCTCCCGAAGCGCCGCCACGTGACCCTGCTGCGCCGCGCTGGCGCAGAGAAGCACGCCGACGGACAGTTTCCGCTCGGGGACCGTGCCGCCGCTGCCGTTGAAATGGACGACCGCGAGAGAATGCAGCGCGCCGGGGTGCCCGGCTTTCGCGGCTTGGACTAGGTGTTTAATTCCGTCCTTTCGGTCGCCTAGGCAGTAGAACTCGATCATCCCGAGGAGGAACGCGGCCTCGTTGTTGCGCGCGTCGGCGCACGCGCGGAGGAAGGAGCGGTAGGAAGCGGAGTAAGCGCGCGCGGGGCATGTGAGCGCGGAGATGGGGAGCGCGGAGAGGACCTCGGGGAATGTGGCGACCTCGTGGAATCGCTTGCAGGAGAGGCGCAGGCTGGCGAACTCCGCGGCCGACGCGCATTTCGACGCGACGGATGTGGCGATTAGGGAGAGAACGTCGTCCTGGAGGAATAAAAAGAGAGGAACAGAAAGAGGGGGGTAGCGATGGTTAGAAACCGTTCAAACGGGAACGAAGGCCAACCAAGATAAAGCATCTGGGCCCCGAGAGTACACGGAAAATAAGGCAAGGTGTGGATAAGAGTGCTTACCGGAATCATATCCAGTGACGACGAGGACTGGGCGACGGCTTTCGTCTCGGACGCGCGTAGGCGCTTAGCAGCGGCCATTTCGATGAACGCAGAAGCTGCTCGCTTAGGAACCATTTTGCTATGTCCTTAGTTTCAGAGATCCTTGGTTCAAGATTACTTGTCCGTGCAGTGTTGTCACTTGGGCTTGGGTTGGGTAGGGCAAAGCGTTGGGGTCAACCAGTTGGGGGTGATGCGATGTGCAGTGGAGGAGGTGGTTTGGTGGAGCTGAAATAATCGAGGGTTTCGTTTTGAACCACAGGTGGCAACGACGATCCCTAGTTTTATCCATGTGTGGTTGCATCGAATACGACAAATCAATTTGCACCCAAAGAAACCGAAAACAGAAGGGAGCATGCGCAGCGTTGCATGCGCAAACCAAGGCGAATTTCCGCCTCAGCAGTAATCAGCGAAGCGCAGCAAATCACATGGGCATTTCTCTGTGGGCGGTCCGGAAAGCGACGCGGGGGAGGTGCACCCTGCATTTGCTCCGGCCGCCACATTCGCTCAGATTCGCGCCTCGATAAGCGCCTGATAAACTCCCTGCCCTTCCAATTTCAACTAGAAAAAGCACACCTGCGACTAGCAAGATAGTGCGGCTCCAGAAATCCACCTGCACAGAGCCCTGAAGAGGCACCAGCGATTATGGCTGCGCCTATCCACAACAAAAGAATGACCCAACCAGCCTCGAGAAAATTGCATGGCGCTACAGTGCCTCGTGTAATGTACTTTCCCAGCTTGCGGGAGTTCCGCTTTCAGGAGGGCTTTTTGTGTGGTGGAGAATATACCATACCCCATCTTACAATATCGTCCGATAAACTAAACTTCAATACATCGTATATAGACAGTATACAACCAGAATATTTATACTTCCTAACTTTATCTTTGCCACCATGTGAATAGGGATTTTCCAAATTACCAGCGTTTCACAATGCCAACATGATTTTGGGGGATGTCCCAGCAACCCCCATAAAGTCTCAGCAAACACCCAGCCTTTTCCACGTTACAAAAATGCAGCAACGATTTTTTGCCTTGCTTTAGGAAGAGGAAAACTGAGAATGCGTGCACCCTACTACAAACGCGCAGATTCCACAAGGATACAACTTTCATGTGCTCTACTCATCTGATTCGTGCCGGCGGTATCCCTCTCCAAGCCTCCCTACTCCTCTCGGTCTCAGCTTCATCACATTCATAACCTTGCGTGCCCGCTCCCACAACTCCTTCCCAATTCTTTGCCGTTCCTCTAATCTCTCCTTGACATACACATACGCCGAAGGAGCGGCGAATGCAGCACCGAGAGCAATCACCACATAGAAGCAGATCCACATCACGTTACTGAAACCTGAGGTGACGTTTGGGTCGTTGGTGGTCTGCTGCACCCAGGGGACCCCCCCCACGTTCATCCCAAAGGCTGGTGGGGAGGGAGGGAGGGGAGGATAGGGGCAAGATGGTGTCCTTGAACCACTGAGTGGCGTTTGGGTCGTTGGTGGTCTGCTGCACCCAGGGGACCCCCCCCACGTTCATGCCAAAGGCTGGTGGGGAGGGAGGGAGGGGAGGAAGAAGTGAGACAGTGTGTTGATAATTTTTCGGGCGATGTTTGGGTCATTGGTGGTTTGCTGCACCCAGGGGATCCCACCCACATTCATGCCAAAGGCTGGCGGGAGGGAGGGGAGGGGAGGGGCAGGCAGGAATGGGGTTCAATCGTGTGTTTGCATGACTCAGAGACGCACAGAATCTCTAGTTTTCCAAGGTTTGCTGCACCCAGGGGACTCCACCCACGTTCATGCCAAAGGCTGGCGGGAGGTGGGGGAGGAAGGAACAGGGGCAGGGAGGAATCGGACCATATTGTGTGGAATGAGTTGACTCAATGCCTAGGAGAACGCTTGACTTTTGAGTCGACTCAAAATGTGTCATGTGCCATTGTAACGACGTGACTTTTGAGTCGACTCAAAAGTCATCTCGGGAGGGATAGGGGCAGGGAGGAATTGGACCATATTGTGTGGTACGAGTCGACTCATAGGGTACGAGTTGCCTCAAAAGCCTAGGAGAACGCTTGGACTCAGCTCATGCCAAAAAAAGAAACGTGGGGGAAGGGATGAAGAAATGGGACAAAATGTGTCCTGTCATTATAGAGAGTGCAGGAAGACAATGGAGAGGAAGGAAATGTAGTAAAGCTTCTTATTGATCTGCCCCGATTGCCACTGGTCCAGGCCCGTCTGCAGCGCCGTGATTCTCACTGTCAGAAACCCCACCTCTTCGACCATATGCTCCCCTCAACCTGCCCCGTCTGTAGCACCGCTACTCTCCCTTTTACCCCCCCTCCTGTGACAACACTCTTACCTCCAGTGATTATAGAGAGCGGTAAAAAGACGATGGAGAGGAAGGAGATGTAGTAGAACTTCTTGTTGATCTGCTCCGACTGCCACTGGTCCAGCCCCGTCTGTAGCGCCGTGATTCTCCATTTCACCCCACTCTTCCACCGTGCTCTCACCTCAGACCAAACCTCTTGTTGATCTGCTCCAACTGCCACTGATCCAGCCCCGACCCGTCTGTAGCGCCGTAATTTCCCAATTCAACCGTTTCATACCTGGTCAAAAACCTTTTGAAATTGCAACTGCCATACCTCCGGTGATGATAGAGAGCGGTAGAAAGACGATGGAGAGGAAGGAGATGTAGTAGAGCTTCTTGTTAATTTGCTCCGATTGCCACTGGTCCAGCCCCGTCTGTAGCGCTGTGATTCTCGCCGTCAGGAACCCAACGTTCTCCTTGCCTCTCCGAAGCCGGGCCATGGCCCCGTCCAGCACTGCCGAAGCTACAGGTCCGGCGCACCAGTGCCGAGCCACGAGCCTGTCCTTCAGCTTCGGCAGCACCACCTCCCCGTGTGCCAGCGACTGCAGCACTCTCTGCAAGTCCAGGTGCAGCTTGGGGAAGGTCCTGTCTTTCAGTAATCGCAGACGGTGATCAGATCCTGAGAATGTCGACAGAGGGGAAAGGTGTGGGGTTGGGTTGGGTGGGATACGGTAGGGATTGTGCACAGTTATACAGCAAGCAGGGACGAGAGTGCAGCAGCCTCTGCAGGTCCAGGTGTAGCTTGGGGAAGGTTCTATCTTTCAGTAATCGCAGACGGTGATCAGATCCTGAGAATGCAGACAGAGGGGAGTAAGAAGGGGTGGGGATGGGTGGAAAGGGATTGCACACAGAGATTCAGCAGTCAGAGACTGCAGCACTCTCTGCAGGCCCAGGTGAAGCTTGGGGAAGGTCCTATCTTTCAGTAACCGCAGACGATGGTCAGAGCCTGAAAAGGGGAGGGGAAGTGGGGTGGGGTTGGGTGGGATGGGGTTGTACACCAAGGTTCAACCCCATCCCACCCAACCCCACCCAGAGACAGGTGAAGCTTGGGGAAGGTCCTATCCTTGAGCAACCGCAAGCGGTGGCCAGAACCCAAGAATGTAGACAGAGGGGAGTAAGAAGGGTTTGGGGTAGAAACTGCACACAGAAACACAAACAAACAGAGATCACAGCACTCTCTGCAGTTCCAGGTGAAGCTTAGGGATGGTGTACAGAGACTGTCATCTTAGCAGCAGGGGCATCAGCGGAGCACTCTCTTTTTGAGGCGCCTCAAAAGTAGGGATGGTCTACAGAGGCCGATTCCGTAATGAGTTTGGATCCAGGGACAAGAGTGAAGCACTCTCTATCACTCTCTCCTTCAATGCGTGCAGCAATGAGCTGTACCGTACTGTACCGAACTCTGATATACTGCATCATATAGTTACCTTCGTCCAGGTCTCTTTCGTGTTGATCCAGCATACACTCCTGTTAGAATTAGGCTGTCAACACTTTGTGTACTATATTCTATATCGCGTAGGTTATTTGCGGGTTGGGTGTAGTTTGTAATCCCAACCCTATCTGGTTGGGATTCCCTCGTAATCCTGCAAATCTGCCAACTCACCAATTGGAGATTTGCTAGGATTCCCATCCCATCCTTTCCCTAGCCTTGCCCAACCCAACCTCGTTTGTACTTAAGGCCTAGTGCCTTCTTTACTAATCAGTCACTTGAGCTCCATTTCTATCAACTCCACCTCCACCACAACGTCCTCTAGGTGCGCCATGTGCGCCTACAGTGTGTGTGTGTGTGCTGCAGCAGCCCAAACACTCACATGCTATTCACAGCTGTACCGTATCGTACCGCACTGTATCACATTCTCACCTTCGTCTAGGTCCCTCTCGTGCTGATCAAGCATACATTCCACCTCCACAATTACGCTCCATGTGCGTCTCAACGATGTGCTGCAGCAGCCCAAGCAATCACATGCACACAGCAATGCACTGTACCATACGGTACCGCATTGTACCTTCATCCAAGTCTCTTTCATGCTGGTCCAGCATACACTCCACCTCCACAATTACGTCCTCTAGATGCTCCATGTGCGTCTCAACGATGTGTTGCAGCAGCCCAAACACCGTCACTGGGATCAAGCACTCGGCGTTCTCTGGATGGCTCTTCCGCAGCAGCTCCTCCAACTCCTGGGGTAGAAGCAGGCAACACATCAGGGAAGGGAAAGAGTAAGAGGTGGGGCATGCTCAAACACAGTCATTCAGAGCTCCCCAGGTGCTCCATGTGCGTCTCAACAATGTGTGTTGCAGCAGCCCAAACACAGTCACAGGGATCAAGCACTCCGCGTTTTCCGGGTGGCTCTTTCGCAGCAACTCTTCCAACTCCTGGAGAGGAAGAGAGGAGGAGACGAGGAGAGGAACAGAGGAGTAGAGGAGCAAGGGGAGGAGTATGCTTTGCTGCAACTCAAACAGGGTCGTCAGGAGCTCCCCAGGTGCTCCATGTGCGTCTCAACAATGTGTGTTGCAGCAGCCCAAACAAAACACCGTCACAGGGATCAAGCACTCCGCGTTTTCCGGGTGGCTCTTCCACAGGAACTCCTCTAGCTCCTGGAGAGAAAAGCCGGAAGAGGAGTTGGGGTAATGGGAGGTGAGAGGTAAGAGCTCTCTGGGTGGCTCTTCCACAAGAGCTCCGCCCTCCTCCCATCACACGCACTGCCACACACACTGCCACACGCACTGCCACACGCACAAGCACACACAATCAACGGGCACTCACCACATCATCCACATCAATGGTCGTGTGCGTATCTGCTGCCGGCTCCGCTCTCACCTCCCTCCTCCTCGGCGTCATTGCCTCCAACACCTTCCCAACATGACAGTGCACCACGCACTGCCAGATGCATCACCACAAGCACCATGCACTGCCACATGAGGCACTCACCGCATCATCAACATCAATTGTCGTGTGTGCTTCCGCCTGCTCCTCCCGCACCTCCCTCCTCCTCGGCGTCATCGCTTCCAAAACCTTCCCCACTCGCGCCAAAACCCCGCCACTCCGCTTCCCCCCAACGTCTCCAGATAAACCTCCACCAGCAGAACCTACCCCAGGAGCGCCTGCACCCCATCTGACGCCTCCCCCTACAGCATCACTGGTAAAGCCTCGACTGCTCCCGAAGCTTCTGCTGCCCAGCCCCTGCAACAGCCCCCTCCGGTCCAGATGCCCCTCACTCTTGACCTGACTCGCGCCTGCGCCGGAGGCAGGCAATCCCCCCTCTATTGTGCTGGAGGGAAGTGAACCGCCCTCTATTGTCACACACTCTTCAATCTCCGCGTTTGACGGTCTGAGAGGGGCTGATTTGGTGCCAGCAAGGGGCTTTGAAGCCGGGTCTAAAATGCCCCCAGAGGCTGAAGCAGAATACCTAAGAGCGAAAGAAGCAGCTTCAGTCCCAATTCTTCCTGTTGCCGCTTCTGCGCCACTAGTTCTTGTAGACCCCATCCCGCCTGCTACTGCTGCTGCTACCGCGGCAGCCTCTAACGAGGATGATCCTGACCCGACTCTTATCTTGAGAGGTCGGGGAGTTCCGGACGGGCTGCCAGGCGTGCTGGTATGCGGTGTGACTGTGGCGCTGGTGCCTTTAACGAGAACAGAGAGCGCGGCGCTCTCCGGTTCGCCCTCGCTAATAGCCCGGAATGACGCATTCGGCGACCGTCTCCTCAAAACAGGAGCTCCGTCTGTCCCTCTGTCCGTGCCGCTAAGACTAGCACCACCAGAAACAGCAACACCAATGGCGGCACCAGCGGCAGCACCAGCAGCAGCAGCGCTAGTGGCAGGTCCGGCAGCACAACCCGCACCCTTTGCTGCGGCAGCCGAGGCAGCATCGTCACGCAACCTAGCCACCAGCCCCGCCAACCCTAACCCAACCTCCGACCCTAGCAGTCCTCCCGGTTCTCTCTGCAGCTCTAAACGCGGCACGGGCCCCAACGCGACGCTTACTATTCCAAACGGCGTGATCCGCGCCGCGATCTTAAAGGTGTACGGACTGTCCATCGGCCCCGGGGAGTTAATTCGCACGAACAGCGCCCCGCCGAGCGTGCCGCAATACGGACCGTTGGATAGAAGCGTCGTGATCTCCTGCAGCTGCAGCGGAGGGTGCAGATGCGTGATGAGCTGGCGAGCCGCGGCGGAAAGCGACGGGCAGGATCGCGGGATCTCCACGTGGAACCACGAGAACTCGCCACCTGGCTGCGTCAGGAGGCCCGCGGCGGCGGCTGCTGTAGCGACGGGCGCTACTACAGCCGCGGAAGCGACACCCGCGGCGGGGTCTGCTACAGCCGCGGAGACGGCGAGCGCGGGATGGGGGAGTAAGAAACCCGCTGCATCCAACGATCCGCCTGAGTCTGTTCGGTTGGAAATCGGACGGGGAGGATTGTCCGCAGGCGGCGGCGAGCGTGCGGCGTCGGATTCTCGGGGGGATATCTGGAATTGCACGTGGTGCTGCTGCTGGTGGTAGTGGGCTTGCTGCTGCTGTTGCAACTGAATCGTCGTCATCTGCTGCAGTTGCGATGGGGTTCCCCCCAGCAACCGTCCCTTCTCGAATTCCTTCAGTTGGTCCCAATCCAACCGCTCAAACGAGCCCAAGCCGTCGAAACGATACGCCGACCGTCGGATTCGCGACCTCTCTCGCTCTCTCATGGATCTGGAGCGGGAGAAAGCGCCGAAGCGCTTCGGGCTGCGAGGCGACGAGGCGGCGAAGAGAGGACGCGTATCGGATCCCCGATCCGACCAATCCATTTTTTCTGCGCTGGGGATTGAAGTCCTGATGCTGCTAATATACACCTGCGTTATCGGTTAACGCCGCCGACTAGAAACAACGGCAGCACGCAAACGCGTGCCCGAAAAGACGAATTTCGTCCAAAATTAAATACTCTACCCCTACTGCTCCCTGTTTTGGCGAACGATCCCAGCTATCCGTTTGCGTATATCCTGTAGCCTGTCAGCTTCTGGATGAAAGCCAAGAGCCATTCTTTCTAGTTTACTGATTCCGGAATGAAACAAAGGCCATCATTCATCCTAATCCACTACGCCCTACGACTTATCCTTACAGAGCCTACGAGCTGACCAGGGATTGCTGAATGCCGCACTGGAACTCGCAGATCTCGCGAGCCACGAACGTGACTAAGCGTCGCTCCTCGCTCAAATAAAACTGTCTGTAGCCCCGAAAATCCCTGAATTTCCGTCACTAAAGTCAATAGTCTTCCTGGTCAATTAGTCCTCGATTAGTGCCACCTAAAACTGATATCGCCCGGAACATGGGGGAGGTATGAGGAGGTGGTTCGAGAATCAAGATGGTAATCCCTAAGGTAATAGACTGACTGACTTGAAACCGCACTGCATCTCAGACTATTCTTTCAAACCTTATTGAACCACGTCAAGCTCTGTGAGAACCGCGATTCGGCAGATTCCACTTCCATCAACCCCGTATTTCTCGTCCCAGATTTCTCCTCCATGCCGTCTGGTTGTTTCTCCTCGTCTGACAGCCCTTTCCCGCCGTTTTCTCAACCAGTCAGACGCGGCATCGATGCTCTCGGAAATGTACCGTAAGCAGAAAAGATACCATTACTCGCTAAACAAGGCCGCTCAACAAGCATAAGTCGGACTTCGTGGGCAAAGGGAGGACACGAATACGGTTGGTACTTAAAGATACATAGAAAAGCAGAAGTTCACTAGGATGTAAGCAGAAACCTACCAGCTAAGAAGATTCCATTAGGTGATATATCTAGCCTAGTGAGGAACGTCCCAGGACCTAAATCAATCTCCTCTACCTCTTCCACACAAGAGCTAGGCTCCACAATCTCACTTCCCCTCTCATTTTCTCTCTTCCCTTTGTGCCCTTTATCCCTGCCCTGACCCTTTTGCTGACCATTTCCACCCCTACCCTTCCCTTGCTTCTTACCTATATCCTCCCTCACACATGCAACCAAGCACTCACTGCCAAATTTGCTTACAGAGAGTCGTCTCCCATCCTCGCTGACAGCTAAGCGCACAGCCACTGGCAAAGGGCCCCTATATGCCTCTTCCTCCTCCACTGCCACTTCTCCTATACTGCCTTCGCCTATAGTCACATCAGCAGCCCCTTTTGCTGATAAACCTGCATCTGGCCTCGATGATAGCACATTATTGGACTGTAGAGACGCGAGTGTACTGTTATCGGAAGATTCAGCATCCAGCGCTACACCAGCCGGAGTTCCCAAGGCTTCCCGCGATGCAGCTCCCAGCAACCGCTTGGATAAGGAGAGCCAACCACCCCCAGGGCCAGAAACACCCATTTCCTCTCCGCTTAACTGCTGCTGCTGCTGCTGCTGCTGTTTCTGCTGCTGCTGCTGCTCCATCCTCTTCCTCTGACCTGGAAGCGATAAAGTTTCTCTAGACCAGAAATCGCGAGGAGGGACCAAGGAAATGGGTGGCGTGGAGGGGGAAGTAGGCGTGTCAAGGACTTGAGGGACCGAGCCTTGCCCTTGCCCTTGCTGCTGCTGCCTTTGCTGTTGCAATTGCTCCTGCCCTTGCTGCTGCTGCTGATTCATTTGCTGTTGCTGCTGTTGTCTGTGCCGTCTCCCCAGACCCAGGCTTGGCGAGGAGGGGAAGAGAACAGAGCTAGCAAAGAACGGCGTCCCTGGTCCCCTCCAGGAGTAGGGGGATAACGCTGCTGGTGTCGCAGCAGCAGGAGATTCAGCAGAGGATGATAGAGTGTGGTTGTGAGCGGTGGGGAGGTTTGTAGCTGGGTTGTTGGGGTGGGGGATGCGGAGGGGGCGGAGGCGGCGGGATAGAGAGGAAGAGAGGCGAGAGGAGCGAGGGGAGGGAGGGGGGGAGGAGGAGGAGAGAGGGGGAGAGGAGGGAGAGGAGGAGAGTGAGGGTGAGTGAGGAAGTGAGGGTGCGGGATGGGTAGAGTGTGGTGTAGTGTTCGAGGTTTGATGAGGGGAGGAGTGGGAAGGGGAGTTGAACAGAAAGGGCGGCTTCAGAATCTGCAGCCGCCCGACAGTATCCAGCACTGGCTGAGGGAATCTGATCCGGGCGGCGGAGAATCTCAACAGTGACAGCGGGTTGGGCGGCAGAGGGGGAATGGGGAGGAGAGGGAGGTCTAGGGAGGGTTGGGAGGAGGAAGTGGGGGAGGAGGCGAAGGGGGAGGAATAGCGGACGGATAGGCGGGGGGAGGAGAATTGGGGGGAGTAGTAGGGGGAATGGTGGGAGGAGTGGTGGGAGGAGCGGTGGAGGGAGTGGTGGGGGGAACTAAGGCGAGCAGTGGGGGTGAATCGAGGGGAGGGAGTGAAGCGAGGGGAAGGGGTGAATCGGGGAGAGGGGGTGAAACGGGGGGAACGGCAATAGGCGGGAGCATGGGGAGCATTGAGGGAGTGTGTATACGAGGTTCGAAGGGGGTTTAGAAGTTTACGCTTTGGAGAGGAGGAAAGAGTGGTGGAGTGTGTGGGGTTGAGGGGAGGAGAGGGGGAGTGAGAGGAGGACGGGGAGGGAGGGTACGGGTGAAGGCCAGATTTGCCGCCAGCGCTATTGGGCGGCAGGCTGGAGATTTGATCCTGATTCTGATTATTATGTAGGCTGAATCTCGGGTCCTGATTGGCTGCTACGAACTCCAAGAATCCGTCACCAAGTGACACGTGGAGGGCTGGGATTGGCTGGCGGTCGTCCAATGAGAAGACAGAGCGGAGGAGGGGGAAGAGGAGAGGGCTCCTTAGGCTGCACGGGGGAAGGGGGGAAGAGGGGGGGAAGAGGCGGGGTGTGGGAAAAAGGGGAGAAGGGAGAGAGGTGAAGAATAGGAGTGGAGGAGGGGGAAGAGGAGAGAGGTCCTTAGGCTGCACGGGGGGAAGGGGAAGATGCGGGAGGTGGAGAGTGGGGGGAGGGTAAGGGGAGGATGGGGAGAGGAAGGGGAGAGAGGGGGGAGATGGAGCAAGAGGGGAGTGGGAGTGAAAGGGTGGGGATGGGGGGAACAAGGAGCATAAGTGGCTCTAAGGCTCAGGATTGGCTGGTAGACGACCAATGAAAAGAGAGATAGATTGGAGGGGAAGACAGAGAATGCAATAAATAGAACAGTTGCCGACTCACCTCCTGTTGAAATCTTCAGTTGCCGACTCACCTCCTGTTGAAATCTTCAGGGCTCATGGAGAGAAATGCGCGCACCGGAAAGTGAGAGTCGGTGAAACTGAAGGGGGAGGAGGGAGGGGGGATAGGGGTGGGGGAATTGGGAAGAAGGGTGTGGAGGGGGGGGGGGGGGGGGGGGGAATAGTGGGGAGAGAGGACACGGAGGGAAGAGGAGAATTTTGTAAGAAAGGGCGGTTGCAGGGGATGGAAGTGAGAATGGCGCGCTCTAAACAGTATAAGTTGCCGAAACTGATGTGGGGAGAAGGATAAGGGGAGAAATGAAAAAAACGAACTCTTAGGGATGGGGAGGGAATGGGGAGGAAGAATGGGCCGGGAGAGTGATGAGAGAGAGGGGCACAATGGAGGGGAGGAAAGCACACAAGAATCTGACAAGAAAGAGGCACAATGGAGAGAATCTGAAACTGACATGGGGGAGGGGAGGGGAGGATTCCGGAGGGGGGGGGGGGGGGGGGGGGGGAGGGAGGGAGGAGAGGGTAGGAGAGTGTAGGAGAGGGTAGGAGAGGGGAGGGAAGGGGAGGGGAGGGGAGGGGAAGGGAGGGAATGGAAGGGAGGAAGCAGTTAAAGCCCAGCCCCCGAATTACAGAGAGGCCTTCACAAACTGGGCCCAGTTTGGATCTCGCCCCTACTGGGTTCGCCCCTACTGGGTTCGCCCCTACTGGGTTCGCCCCTACTGGGTTCGCCCCTACTGGGCAAAAGGGTTTCGGAAGTTTTCCGAACCTCCAACTGCCTGCCTTTCCGAAGCTGTTTTAGGGGCGTAGACTTCGTTGAGCAATTCGGGTGTTGCCCTTTAAGGGTGCATCAGAACGGTGAAACCCTCATACAATGGTTGCCCGTTTTTGAGTGTGTGTGTATGTGTGGGTGCGTCCGTGGAGGTGAGTGAGTGAGTGAGTGAATACTTCGTGTTCCACTCGATCTCTCTCTCTCTCACACACACCTGGGTGTGAGTCCCCAGTTCTTGCCGAAGCGGACAGAAGAAGCAGCCATGTCCACGTCAGAAACGGACAAACCCTTGTACTCCGCCGCCCGGGCCGACACCGACACGCCGCCCAGCCGCCCGGATAGCAGGTCTTGTCCTGTAGCGGCCACCTTGATCCTCAAATCGCCGCATGAGTCGAGCTGAAAAGAGAGAAAACGACAGGAGAATGAAAACAACAAAGCTGGTTGGCACGAGGGGGACACCTGAGACCGAGGGCCTAGCTGAGGATCCACCTGAAAAATCATCTGAGAGCCGACCTGAAAAGCTAAAGAGCTGACCTGGGAGCGCAGGAAGGAGTGAACAGCCTGAGTCAGCAAGGCTGACACCAACCCGGAAGCTTCCTCCTCCCCTTGCTCATAAACCGCTTCAGTAGCTGCTGCTTTGGCCACACCAACACAACTGCTCTTGCTGTTGGTGCTGCCGTTTCTGCTGCTCTTGCTGTTGCTAATGCCCCTGCTGTTGCCGTTACTGCTAATTTTGCTGCTGCTGCCGCCGCTGCTGCCTCTGTTGAAACCTCCTGAAGCCGCCCTGCCGCCCACCTGCGCCCCGAACTGTTCCTCCGCGATTTGCAGCGCCGCCCAGGGGTCAAGCAGGGCGCGGGGGGGTGGGGGGAGAAGGGGGGGATGGGGGGAGCTGGGGGGGAGGGCGGGGGAGTTGCGGAGGGGGGAATGCGCCTGCGCGTGGGGCGCACCCGCGCTCATATTCCCCTTCCCCTGGAAATGGGGACCATCAGCGGCGGGAGCTTCAGGTGCCATGGGATCCAGCCGCTCAGGTGTTTCAGCAACAGAGCCAGGTGGGTTCAACAGAGAAGCCACCTGACGCCAGAGCGCCTGAGACCGGCCCAGGAGTCTCGCCTCCCGTTGCTGCCAAGCCCCATCCTCTTTATAAGCTTCCTCACTGTACGCTGCTTCGTCTTGCTGATGTGGCCATCCCAAAACACCACTTCCCAAGAGCCCCCTTACAATGCCAAGGCCAAACGCGTCAGGGGAAGGTATATCCGGGGTAGGTCTACCCAATGCCTCCCCGTTACCTCCCCAGAAAGACTCGCCTCCCCCTCCCAAAACTCGTTCCCCCGTCCCTTCCCCCGCTTCCCCCTCTCCGCCCCCTCGCGCGTCCCCCGTTTCCCCCCATCCGCTCGTCATCGCCCATTTCGCCGCAACAGGCGCCTCCCTGCCGAGCCTCTGCCCCCACACCCGAACCTGGCTCCGAACCTGCTGCCGCTGCCGAGCCTGCGCCAGCTTGTTCCGAGCCACTTCCCACAGCCCGAGCACCACCATCACTGCCCCTAAGCGCGCCGAGTTGACCCTCTCTTCCCCGCGTTTCACGGCGGCTCGCACCGCCTTTTGCGCCTCTAACGGCGCCTCGAGAACGCTGCGCTTCAGCGCTTCGAACGGGTCGCGGAAGCGGGTCGCGAGGGGGAACGGGGAAAGCTGGCGGAAGCGCTGCTGCAGTCCGTTGCGCAGTCCGCGGGAAAGCGCGACAGCGTTCTGGCGGAAAATGGCCCGAGGCGCGGTGCCGTGACCTGGGAAGATCCACGTCGCATTGCGCTGTTCGCTCCGCCCCAACTGCAGTTGCTGTCGTGGCAACAATTGCTGCTGCTGCTGCCGAGCCTTCGCCTCGGCATGGTGGACAATCTGCCGAACCTCAGCTTCGACCCGAGCCTTATCTTGCGCGTCTAATGCGGCGGAACTTCGAGAAACTGCGCCACCTGCGCCACCTGCGCCACCTGCGCCTTTGGACGAAGCAGCGGAAGCGGAGTGGCCCGCGGAAAGCCCCCGGGGAAGCCCCGCGGAGCTTCCGTCGATCTGCTCTCGACGCTGCGCGCCATTTCCCCGTCCCCAATCCCCCCGCTCCGCAGAAACCCGCCTTTCCCCCTGCTGACGTGGCCTCACTCTGCTGCGATCCCTTGCCGCCCAGGCGGCCGCACGAGCCGCGCGGTGGGAGGGCGTCTCGACTGGCGGCACGTAATGATGGCGGAGGTGATGCTGACGTGGATGTTCTGGCTGCTGACGTGGTTGTTGGTGGTTGGGTTGGGCTAAGGGCCCGTGGGGTGCGGCGTAAGTCCCGCTGTTACTGCTACTACTGCTGCTACTGCTAGTGCTGCCGCTTGCGCTGCCGGCATGACTCTTAGAGCTTCCGTCAACCGCGGCGCTTTGGGGGCTGTTAAAGAACCTAGGGGTTGCCGCGCTCCCCCCGCGCCTTCGCGGGTGGTGGCGGGGGCTTGCGCCGAACCTCCCGCGGTTCTGCGCGTGCGTCGGCGAGCGGGGATTGCGCGCGCCTTGGCGGACCCACGAAGGTATCTGTGACGTTTTAGGCTCCATTTCTCGCTAAAGAGCGTCGTCAGTTCGCCAGTTTATCAGGCTGTCCAAAGTTCTCCGGCTGACTTTTGGACCCCCTCACAAGTCACCTCGCTTTACAGTCTCCATTTTTTCATAAATGTCCCGTTGCCTGGCTTTCATCCTGCCGGGTGCCTCTTGAGAGCCGACTAAATACTGAGGACGCACGGTTTTGGAATGCTCAGCGCCCGAGACTACTAAATATGTTGGGAAACGCGAGCAAGCTATGCAATGAGGACGTGTGAGGGGGATAACTAGTAAGTGGTTGGGTGAAGGATAAAGGGAGGAAAGAAAGTGCCGATGCTCGGAACATGAGTAAGAAAACTGTTTGACGAAGAGATTTTGTTACCTCTGTGCCGGTTACAGATGCCCTCGAAACCAGACTTGCCCGTCACGACTTTCGCCGGAACTGCTCTCGCAGCTTTCTACACCTTTCGCAAATCACGTTCCAAGTCCTGCAAGTATGAGAAAGCAGCGGAAGGAAAAGGGTTAAGCATTGGACTGTAGAACAAGCCCGCCCCAACCAACCAATCCCGTCGCAAGGCGCGCAATCTCGACTTGTGGTGGTGGGTGGGTGTGAGGTCGAGCAAAGCACGAGCTGTGTTGAGTCACATCGACGGACGGATGGAAGTGCAGAGCTGAAATGGGGACCTTCGGTGAATGTGACCCGTTAGATCATCATCACCTGACTTCATCCAGCACATTGGATCGCGGAGGGCGTTTTGCGTTCTGTTCAGCATCCGCGCTTCGAGGTTGGGCAGACTGACAGAATCATCCGAAACGCTTGCGAAAAGCTAATTTGATTGGCGGCAGAGAGGAGACGTGGATTGATCATGGTGAAGTGGACTGCTAGGAGGCCATTAACCAATCAGCTGAGAGGAAGCAATCACCTGAACGGGGCCAAACGTGCGGCACAACCGAGAACGAAGTCTCGACAGCCCAATGTTCTTGTTATAAACACACTGATCCCCGAAATCCTTCTATTCCTTACAAGAGAAGAACAGTTGTGGCAGAACTAAACAATTGGTCAACATTAATGACAACAGCCACGTCAGCCCCGCCTCCTCTTTCCCTGGCGCCGGCCTCCTTTACCCTTCTTTGCTTTTAAAGCCTTCTCACCATTCTCTATATTAATTTTCTTCGTCTCTGTATTACCCCTGGCATTCTCGGCTCCACCTGTCGTGCTAGCTGTGACTGTTTTCACCGCCAATCGCGGCTTTGTATCGAGCATCGAACGCGGAAGAATGGAGACAGCACAGAAAGGAGGGCCTCGCGCAAGGGGAACAATCTCAACTACCACTGCAAACTGTGGACAAAAACAGAAAGGTACAAAAACAAACCAACAAAAAAGATTGGCGAGGGGTGGGCCCTGGTTAGATAGCATAAGCAACCCATAGCAAGTATTCATGGCAGACAGGCAAGGAAGCATAAATATGCATTGATAACGAGATCAGGGCGTGTAAAATCACATTTAAGCTGGAAACGGACCGCCCCAGATAAAGAAACTCAGTTAATCAAGACATTACAGCTGGTAAAGATAACCAACACTCCATTAATGACTGTTCATGTCTCACCTCTGGGTTAGTCAGGTTAGCCGCAGCACCTCGCTTCCCAGAAGCTTTCTTCACAGCATCAGCCACAGTCCTAATCACAACATCACGACTCAACTCAACATTCTCCTCCCCCTCCCCTCTCTCCTCCTTGTCTCCCCCATTTCCTTCTCCTTGTCTCTCTGCTTTCTCCTTTTCTTTCTTGGCTGTTTCTTTGGCTGCAGAGCCTGAATCCTCTGCTCCTCGTTTCTTGAACGCCACTGCAAACTGGGGGGGTGGGAAGGGCAGGCAGAAGCGTGGTGAGACCCCTATCCTTGTTCCTTGCTGCTTCTCTCCCTACCTGCAGAGCCTGAATCCTCTGCTCCTTGTCTCTTGAACGCCACTGCAAACTGAGGGGAAGGACGGTGCAAGCTCGCATAGCACGCCCAAAAGAGTTGGCTCACTGTCAGAGTGGGCCCACACAGCAGATTCTTCGTTTGGGTCAGCTAAACAAAATGGCCAAATCAACCATTCTTTGAAAATGTTGTCAGCCAGGTCTGAAACAATACCTGCACAGGAGGTAGACACTGCTGTGCTGCTGCTGGGGATTCTGCTGCTGCCAGGAACCCTGCTGCTGCTACGGGCTCTGTTGCTGTCTCAGAACCACTCAGGCGTGGCTCCTCCACTCCAACTTGCTGCTGCTGCTGCTGCTGCTCCTGCTGCTGCCCCTTCTGCTGCTTCTGTTCCTGTTTTTGCTGCTGCTGCTGCTGCTGCTCCTGCTGCTGCCCCTTCTGCTGCTTCTGTTCCTGTTTTTGCTGCTGCTGCTGCTGCTGCTGCTGCTGCTGGCGGTGGTGGTGATGCTGCTGCTGTTGTTGCTGGTGAGGCTGCTGCAAAGTGATTGGCCAGCAGTCGCTTCACGGTGGCCGAAAGGTGGCGCTTTGAGGTTGGGCACGTGGCCTGCACAGGGCAGATGCGCTGGCACCACCTGATTGGAGCAATAGAGGAGGGGGGGGGAGGAGGGAGGGCAGTGGGGACGGGAAATTTAAAAGGAAGCCAACGAGTGGGAGGAGGCAGATAGGCATGTATGCACAGGGCAGATGCGCTGGCACCACCTGATTGGAGCAACAAGGGGTGGGGAGGGTTATGGGGACAGGTATGGAAGAGGGAAGGACGGGAGTGGGAGGTGAAGGCAGATAAGTATGTCAGTCTTCACCAGTGCATGTCTGCACAGGGGAAATGCGCTGGCACCATCTGATTGGAGCAACGAAGGAGGGGGGGATGTGGGGGTTGAGGGGGTTGAGGAGAGGGGAAAGGAAGAGTGGATGCGGGGGCGGTTGAGTGATTGTGGGACAGGATGATGAGAGAGTAGGACAAGTACAGTAGGACGAGGGGTTTAGGGTCTAAGCAAAATCACCACATGGGAAGTCCGGAGGGGGACGAGAGTGGAGTGGAGTGGAGTGGAGTGGAGTGGAGTGGAGTGGAGTGGAGTGGAGTGGAGTGGAGTGGAGTGGAGTGGAGTGGAGTGGAGTGGAGTGGAGTGGAGTGGGACACTCACTTGAGGCCGCTCCTCTTCTTTTCGTTGATGTCCTTAAGAATCTGAAGCGCTACTTTGCAGCACGTCAGAGCTCAGGAGCAAGGAGAGGCAGGGGGACAAGTACAAGGGGGATGGAGTGCGATGGAGTGGTGTGGAGAGGGGTGGAATGGTCACAACACTCACTTGAGGCCGCTCCTCTTCTTTTCGTTGATGTCCTTCAGAATCTGCCCGACAACATCCACAGGGCACGGCACCTCGCTTCCTGGCACACATTTTTCCTTCTCGGGCAGTGCCAAAAAAGTTATTCCCATGCTGCCCAGCTTGACCGCCCCTAGCCCAGCTTTAAGGGCGTCTTCTGCTGCACTCGCATCCTGCTCTGCCTTGCTAACCTTCATGACACCACCCTCCTGTGCCTTAGTAGGTTTCTTCACACCATCCTCCTCCTCTTTCACTGTGCTCCCCTCTGTGTTACCTACCCCTTTCGCTCCACCGTCCTCTTCCCCCTCCTCTCCCCCATCCACTCCCCTCTCCTTACCACCCTCCGCTTCCCCCTCATCTTCTCCCCGTTCCCCCCCCTCATCCCCCTTCTCTTCCCCCTTCTCTTCCCCCCTTCCCCCCCTCATCCCCCTTCTCTTCCCCCTTCTCTTCCCCCTTCTCTTCCCCCTTCTCTTCCCCCTTCTCTTCCCCCTTCTCTTCCCCCTTCTCTTCCCCCTTCTCTTCCCCCTTCTCTTTCCCCCTTCTCTTCCCCCTTCTCTTCCCCCTTCTCTTCCCCCTTCTCTTCCCCCTTCTCTTCCCCCTCCTCTACTCTCTGTCGCTTGGCCGAAGCACTCCCGTCAAGCCCCTCAACCGAATCAGCTCCCCTTTTCCTCTCCTCCGCTGCCACTAGTTCTTCCCCTTCAGTCACACTCGCACACACTGCAGGCAGGTACTGGCGCGGGGAAGGGGGATTTGGGGGGTACAGCGGGGGAGGGACGGGGAGAGGAACCGGGGGGGGAAGGGAAAGGGGGAGGCTCTTCAGTCATATTCACACTCGCACACACTGCAGGCAGGTACTGGCGCGGAGAGAGGGGGGAGGTTGAGATGGTTAGCGGGAGATAGAGAGAGAGACAGGGGAAAGGAGGGGGGCTCTTCAGTCATATTCACACTCGCACACACTGCAGGCAGGTACTGGCGCGGGGGAGGGGGAACGAGGGGAGGGTGGGGAGAAGGGAAAGAGGGAGTGAAATGCACACACTGAAAGCAGGTACTGGCACGGTGGAAAGGATGAGAAAAGGGTGAAGAGGGGAAGGGGTGACCGTAGCAGGGTCCAAGGAAATTGAACGAGCTGAGGGGAGAGCCGCACAGGCGGTACAACACAGCAGGTAGAATAGAACAGCAGGCGAATTTTCAGTGCAGCACAGATCGAGAGATAGCTAGAATAGATAAGAATGCACGGATCTGAACAATCGATGCAGTGAAATGCAGCAAGGACACCTTTCAGGGACCCTTACAGAAGAATACCTTAGGGAGGATGGAAAGGGCTTCTGACGTGGCACTCTTCTCTCGGCCTGAACACACGCCCAGCACGCCAGGCATGCAGCAGACACACGCCAGCATGCAATGCAGGCATACATGCATCAGGCACATCACATGACCATGGAGAGAGAAATTAATGTCCATCTGAGAAACGCTAGATTGGCTCATCAACAAGCACCAAGGTATGCAGAATTCTGGATTGGAAAAAAAAAAAAAAAAACGCGTAAGACCGTATGAGCATTCAAGAAAGGTGGAAGAAATAACTCGCCAGAGTTTTTTCCGAGCGTAGTCCCCCCTAACCCTCTCACCCACCCCCCCACCACCATCCATAAAATAAATAAATAATGATAATGATTAAAATAAAAAATAGGCTGGTCAAGTACGTACGGAAAGCGCAAGTGATCAGAAACCCTTGAATCCCGCCGCCATTTCCGGATCTCAGCAGCTCCTCCCGCCGGTAGTCAAATCGCACCATCTTCAGCACCCCCGCGTGTCGATCCCACGGCGCCACCTCCCAATCACTCTTAGCCGTTGAATTCTGACAGACTTCCTCCGCCGCTTTCGATGCCGATTCCTCCGCGGCAGCCGGCGCAGCGGACGCCATGCAATTCGCCTGCTTATTACGAAGTATGCTTTGGGCTTCCGGCTTTGGAAAGTCAATTATGGCTGCGCGGTGCGAGAAATTAAGGACCAGTGGAAAGTGGAGGGAAGGATATGGAAGGGTATGCGAAAGGGAAGTGAAGGCGGTGATGGCGGCAATCTCAAGGGGGATGGAGAGGAGGGAGAGAAGAAAGGGGGCTCATTCGCGATTGTAGGTGTTCGTAATAATGCGACACTATATCTGAACAAGTTTAAGAATTTCGACCTAAGGTATCCTTCACCTATTTTTGGCAAAAACAAACGCATCTTTTTTCAGGTTATTCGAGCTCAAAGAGCAAAGTTCCAACTGAGCGTGCAACAATTACTCTCTACCGAATCAATTAGAAGTTTAGATTCTACAATACTCCTTTTTCAACAAGACATAGCTATGAGCTAGGTTTGCGCAACCTACTACTGGTGGCCTCCTCCTTCAAGAACAGAGTTCGGACTACACCCCAGAACACCATCCTCCATAGCTTTATCCATCGACTCATCCTTTGACGATAATGATAACCGAGATGCACCTCCAGCACCATCAACATTCTTCATGCAGCGTGCAGGAACCGGGGAAGACGGAGCAGAAAATATCACAAACCTGCCCCTGCGCTGTGATTGGCTGGCCTTCACCTCAGTCAACGAGCACTGACCCGGGAACGCACCAGGGGATGCAAACGAAACACCTGAAGGGTCTGACAGGAAAGCTACAGGACTTGACGGCGAGTGCAAGGGAGATGGTGATGAAGGAGGTGTGGAAAGAAGAACGGTGGTAGTTTTGGTGCTTTCTCTGCTGCTGTTGCTGCTGCTGCTGCTGTCTTCTCTGTCGAAGCTGGTGGTTACTTTAAGTCTGCCGCCTCCCTTGCTGCCTTCTGTACTACTGCTTCCACTGTTGCTGCACAGTCTGCTATTGACACCATCAGAACTACTCATAGTGTGGCAGCTGGAGTTCGGTTGTGCGGCTATCCCCTTGTTGCGCTGCTGCTGCTGCTGCTGCTGCTGCTGCTGCTGCTGCTGCTGCTGCTGCTGCTGCTGCTGCTGCTGCTGCTGCTGCTGATGATGATGATGATGATGATGATGATGATGATGATGATGATGATGATGATGATGATGATGATGATGATGATGATGATGATGATGATGATGATGATGATGATGATGATGATGATGATGATGATGATGATGATGATGATGATGATGATGATGATGATGATGATGCTGCTCATGGTCGTGATGGTGGTGTTGGTGGTGCGGCTGGTGGTGGCGCCGTTGCTGCTGATGCTGGTGAGGGTGATTCTCGGGTTGGTGCTTGTAAAAATGTGGCTGCTGCTGGTGATGGTGATGGTGCTGATGGCGGTGGTGATGACGCTGCTGAAGCGCTTTATGATTCACATCCTCCCACTCCCGGTGCTGCCTCTGGTATAAAGGATGCGGAATATGTTGCTGCTGATGCTGATGCTGCTCCTTCACGTGTTCTCCTCCCGCCCGTTTGAACCATGGATGATGCACGATACGGCTCGATCCAATCCGTTGATTGGGGTCCACATCCAGCATTCGATGGATGAGATCCTTCGCCTCGTGCGAGATCAACGGCCAGTGACTGCCCGTCTCCAGGTCAACCTCTCCCCTGCAAACCGCAGCATACACCGCATTCAGGTTTTTACCGAAAAACGGTAGTGTACCAGAAAGGCAAGTGTACATTATCACGCCTAAACTCCACACGTCCACCTCGGGCCCATACTCCCTCCCTCGGACAGTCTCAGGAGCCATGTAGAAAGGGCTTCCCACCAGCCCGTGCAGCCTGCATCCTCGTTTTAAGACTCTTGCCAACCCGAAATCAGCGATCTTAACTCTGAGGTCATGTGGTGTTAACGAGGCTGCTGTTAACGAGGACGGGGACACGTCAGCAGGTGAAGTTTTTTCAGAGTCCAGGTGGGAGCAGTGCGTGGTGGAGAGGTTGCTGTTAGAGTCACGGGATGTGCTTGTAAGGAGGATGTTTTCAGGCTTCAAATCTCGGTGCACTACTCCCATCTCGTGCATCCTTGCCACAGCTGCTGCGAGTTGCCTGGGAAAAGGGGCAAACAAGAATGTAAGAGGGGATGGAATGGGATGGAAGGGGCATACAGGAATGTGGGAGAAGGTAAGGATGGGAGGGGGGGGGGGAAAGAGGAAGGGGGAATGGGTAGGGCGGATACTGTTGTGTGTTGGTGGGCAGTTAAGGTAAGTGGGAGGGGATCACAGGGAACTCACGAGTGAAGAAGCCAACGAATACTTTGGGAGAGAGAAAATACAAAAGAAAGTGCCGAGGTGTGACAAAATGGATGACGGCCAATCAAATCAAACAAGCTTTCAAGGGGGAGGAGGGGAAGGAGGGGAAGGGAGAAGCAAAGTTTCAGGAGATGAGGATGGGGGAGAGGAAGGGCTAGAGGAAGGAGGGGAAGGAGAGAGTAGATATGAAAATGATTGCGAACGGGTAAGAGATGCTCAACTGAGCAAAGGAAACGACTCTCGTGATGTTACGCACCTCATTATGTCGGCAGTTTGTCGTTCATCCAGCCTCTCACGTCGCGCCACGTGTTCAAACAAATCTCCTCCCTCACAGTGCTCCATCACCATATGCACTGCAGACTCGTCCTCGAAAATATCCACCAATCGCACAAATCCATTTTCGTGCCCATTCCTGATGAAATCATTATTGCCTTCCGTATGATATTTTGTTCTGTCAACTTCTCGTACACTTCTGTTTGTACACCCATCCTCGCGATGATCCCTGTCGTTGTCGTGATGGCGGTTGGCGGTGCTCTGATCCGTTTCAGTCACGTCCGTTATCCGTACAAACTTCAAACACCGTGCTGCTGACACACCGCGTCCGTATTTGTCACCTTGCAGCTCCCCGTGCCACCTCGATCCGTTCCGCCGCTCCCCTTCTTCCTTGCACGTTGCTTCCCCAGTTCCTTCCCCACGCGCAGTAACGTTCCAGCCTTCATTGCGCCGTTCTCCCACATGTTCTCCCCCGTGCGGTCCTTCACATCCTTCCCCGCGCGCTGCCTGCGCCTGTTTCTTCCTGCGCGCTGCTTGCAAAAGCAGCGGAATCAGCACCTCCGCGCGTAACTCGCGCATGGCTTCGCGAGTCTGGCTTCCCCGCACGGGGAATTTTGGAGCAGAAAACAGCGGAGTGGACGGGAAGAAGATAACAGAACGAAATGGAAGAAGCAAAGAAGGTAGAAAGGAAGAAAAGCAAAGACTAATTAATAAAATGCCGCAGGAGATTGACTGTCTGCACCAGTGTTCGGACATGGAACGAAACGAGAAGGTAGATTGGACCGAAACGCACTGCTATCTGCGACTTGGGAACGGTCTTGCATGCGAAATTCTCCCCTGTTCGCCTGTCTTCGCAGAGCCGCACCACTCCGAAATGGCCTCGCCCCAGCTCCTTTCCGAGCGTAAACCGAGCCTCCAGGCTCGGCTGTCCATTCTCCGGTCCCCCCCAGTCACTCCGCCCACAGACCCGACTTCCGCAACTTCCGCCGTTCCGGCCGCTGCCGTAGTTTCCCCCGCACTGGCCGTCTCCGCGACATTCGGTGAGGGAGTCGACGCCGTCATATTCCACGCCGTGAATGTCGCCGCATTCGGCGCCGCCAGCCCGACATTGGCGGCGGGCTTCGAGGAGTAGATCGTACACGTGGCAGCGTATGGTGGATCCATCATCCACGGCTGGCTCCACGGGCAGGGAGCGAGCGGCTTGAGCGCTGACGTGGATGATGTCCCCGAAAACGTGGAATGATGTATCTTGCTGACCTGGATGTACGGTTTTGCTGAGCTCGTTTTTGTCACAGTCGAATTTTTCACGCGAAAGTACTTCGTCCACGGCCTGACAGTCACATTCTCCCCCGCGGCTTTGGCTGCTTCGACTGGGTTGACCTGATTGACCGCATTGACCGGGTCCAGCGGGTTGACTTGGTTGACTGGTCGAGCCGGCTCGCCGCCTTTCTGCCGTGGCGTCAGGCGCAGCCATTTCATGTCGCGGCGGCACGGAGAGACATCAGAGAAGGAGTGGCATCACATAAGCCGCATTCACTGGGATTGCGGCGCGAGATGTCACTTGGGCTGAGCTCCACAAAAGATATCGAATTCGGAGATTTGTGCGGACAGGGTTAAGGAGAAAGCGCGCGAGTGATGAGGCGCAGCAGTCACGCGAGTAGATGTCTACGATGCTGAGAGATGCAACATTTGAGATTTCTCTAGAGAGTTGCGCTGGGAGGAAAGCCATGGATGGAAAGGACTCTCTGCCACCGAGAAGCATAGGATTGCGTAATTGTCCTTACCATCCATGGTTTGCGTATTTCAGGCGTAGTATGGGTCTTATGGTGGAACCGTCTCCTGCGAATCGAGCTTCACCCAGAAACCCTATCAGTCGAAGAGGTAGGGACTAGGACTACCCACTTAAACTAACAGACTTATACAGGGCGAATTGGGTCTTCCAGGCTGTAAAAACAAAAAGGACCCGTCTTCTGCCGATGTGACAGGAAGGAGACTATGTTGAGTGAAGATTGCTGGCTGGCTCCTGGAGAAGTCCGAGGCTATTGAAACGGCCGACTGACCCTGCCAGTGGGGTTATCGTGGCGTCGGTACTGCGTGCTATTGCGTTTACAGATGGGCGGTAGTAGTAAGGTTGACGGGAACATGGCTGGACAACACACTTTGGAGGAAGAAAGGCGGCCGTCTTTTCCAGACCGTCGATGCTAAGTCGGAGAGGTCCTGTTTGTGCGATATGTGTGTGTACAGTATTACTTCTACGAGTCGCACGACGGCGAAAAGCGACACTGTTCGCGTGTCGGCCGGAAGTCACTGGACCGTCGTCCTTCCCTTATAATCGCTACGTAGTTTGCATTTACTGTATTCTTTCGGAAGGTGGTTGTGCGAAAGACGAGAGTACAAGAGAGGACACAGGAGGCTGCAAGTAGTGTCGTGCGCGTGCATTACCAAAGCAGAAACAAGACTTTCGTTCTGTGATGTGAAGTGAAGCCTCCCCCATGTGGTTTGGGCGCAGGGGAGCAGCCAGAAGGTTCGGTTTTGCTTCCTGTTGATTGCCAAGCTCCCTTGCAGCGCGGTGCGTGGAGGGGTAACGGAAGCTGAACCTGAATCGTTTCACATCGGCTCAGTGCGTTTCTGTACGCTTCGATGCGGTTTGATGCGTTAGGTCCTCTGTTTGGGAAAACGGGTAAGCCAGCCAATGAATTTGGGCGAGCGGGTGGAGAAATCCCGCCCGGCATGTTGTGCCGTTTCGAGAAATTTGTTCAACACCCAGAGCACCAGCAAGTGGAGAGCGACACAAACGAAGACCGCGATTCGCGAAGTGCGCCTCGACGCAAAAGCGCCAAAATCTGTTTTGTTCCAATATTGCTTTGCCACGTGTTCAGAAATATCAAGACCAATGGGATGTGACAAACACGAACATTGTGTGATCATGACAATTCACAACGTTTCCTTCAGATGTATTGGGTGTACCCTTAAACCATAGTAGAAATAACCCCGCCATTACATCTATATAACTGTCCTATTTCTTATTTCCCATAAGTCAATGCTTTTCATTGTTATCTATAGGAAATGGTTTTAACACGATGTGGATTAATTTATTTGATTAAACATTTTCTAGGAACGTCACATCATGTTTGAAAGATGATAGATGTGCCAATGAATATGGTAGATGTACTCTCAAAACCATCCGTAAAGGTTCCATCAGATTGACTAGTTGTCAAACTATAATGCTTGTTGTTGGTTGTAGGCTGTAGTGGGGTAGCTTACATAGGATACAACACATTCTAGGGTTTGTATTTGTTGGAAACAATTGATTTAAAGCGCTTCTGTCGTGGCGAAACACCAAGTCACAAGCGAAGCAAAGCATATCGAAGCACCGGCGAGTCAACCCTCGGAGGTTGAAGTAACCGCTGGAGGTTACGCGAAAGTCAAAGGTTTGCAACCTTTGACCTGACCAGTACAGTGCGACAGCAAGGACACACAACTGACTCGCTACAGAGCAGTTGCCCGAGTCGTCACTGTATCGAACCACAACAGCAAACAGTAAAACGGTTATTAACTATATCTCTTCATATTCCTTGTACTCTTATAAAAAAACTTGTATCTCTTTGTTTTAATCAACTTACTTTGCCCTCACATACTAGCGCAAGGTGGTTCAGAATCGTATCATTAAACGCTTCCGCTATTACATCGTTCCTACCCAGAGTTCACCCCTGCAAAGATCCTCTAAGGGCTTTTCTCAGCCCAACATGGTATGAGAGCAAACATGGGAAATTCAACTACCATCAAGTTATCTACAACACCAGAAGACATGGCGACTCAGAAAGAAAGGAGCTCTTCTAACGGCTCCCACGGAACTACCCCTACTCCACCTCCTGCCTCTGGCCTACAGACAGAGGAGGGCACGGCAACAAGACCAGCAGCACCTTCAGCAAGTCAACCTGCCAGCTTCGAC